TTTAATATAAAAATAAAAATTATTTCTTAATAAAATTATAAATTTTAATATAGAGAGAAAATTTTAATTTTCACTATTTTTTATTAATAAATTTAGCCCCTGAGTCATTACTTTTGGTCATCACTGTAAATATTATTTAATAAAGTAGAGTAATAATAATAAATTAATTTATATATTTTATTTCAAACAAATTAATCTATATAATTCAAGATTATATATAAATAATTATCAGCTTTGAATTATTTTTAAGTTCTTAATTATCAGAAGGATTATTATTAGAAGATGAAATTACTTATTATATTATTCTGTACTTATTAATTTATAAGATAAGTTTCCAACATTAGTTGATATAACAATTTTTTATCTAAGTATTCAAGGGTTCAAATGTTCCATCAGAACAAATTTTTTCTAGGACTGTTCATACAATAACCAAAGTTAGATATAATTTGAAAGCAAAAAGTGCTTATGCTGTAATGTGTTTAAAAATTTGATGAAACAAATATGAGATAAAAAGAAAAAATTAATTAATTATTGAAGCAAAATCTGAGGTGCCATTCCATGGAATTAACCTAGTTTACTCAGTCATTTTACTGTATTTCTGCAAACCTAAAACATCTAGATCATTATGATAATCATAAATTAAAAAATTCGGTAATTTTGAATTCTGCAAACCGAAAACGTCTAGATCATTATAAGCGTCCAAATTGGACTGTTGGACGTCGAAATATCGCAACTTTGATCATTTTGATTTAAATATAAACTATATAATTAAGAAATTAAGAGAATTTATTAATGAAAGTTTTTTTTCAATAGACTCCTTGAATTTATCGTCTAAAATATTTTGTAATTATGTACGTGTAATTGTTTAAAATTCCGGATACCCTTATTTCAAGCGAAACGACTCCTGTTCCGATAAATAACCCCCGGAGAATATTACCCCGGTTGGGTTAAAACTTGCGAATCATGTGAAAATATATCACCATTTAATTTGTCTAGGCATGATGAATCAAATGATAATACTCCGATCACTGGGTTATTAGATTTTTTCGCAGCGAATGAATAGCACATACAGAGCGCTTTACGGTAACATTCAAGTTGATTTGTGCAATTTCTCAATCGTCTCATATTAAATTGTTATTGAATCCATGTGCATTACTAACCAACTTGGTATATTTTGTGTAAAGTTATTCAACGTTTTTCATCTGCACTAAAAAATCCTTAATAATACGAATCTTTTTAAAATTAGTGGCTATTACAGAATAAAAATTCATTTCCTAATGACGAGTTTTTCCTTTGATTATACATATCGAAAAACTCGAAAGTTCACCGAAATTTGTGTATTATTATATGATAATTGAATGAATCTACGGGCATGTTTAAACAAATATGGAAATCCCGGAATGGGAGAATGAAGGATTTACGAATAAAATCAGCGTTTTGCATTGCGTAGTCATCAGATATCGTGATTTATAAGATGATGATCATTACAAAACAAGCATTTTCTCTTTGTTGATACACACACTCACTACAATGTGGAATGAACAATCGTGTTTTCAAAGTTCGAGCATTCTATTTGAGTTTACAATATTTGGTGAGTTTAAAAAAAAATTCGTTTGTAGGTGAAATAGCATTATTAATTTGGTAAAATATTTTTATTTATCTTTTAAATATTCTATATTTGGTACATTACAAATCAAAAGTTTGATACAGAATTGAAACTTAAATCTATCTTATGTATTCTATTCTATACACATCTTATTTCGACATTTTTGCTTCATATTAAAATCAAAACTTCCCTTCGGTCAAACAATCCGAAAAAGTAAAAAAGAGTTGACGTAATTAATTAAATTAATCCATATGGTTTCAGTGTATCATCAGCTCGTTCATCGTATTTAGCTGTCAATGAAGATATTATTTTGGAAAGTTGTTTTTTAACAGGAAAAAACGTATAAAAGCAATTGTCAAATCCTCAAATCTGAAGAAATCCAAGCAAATAAAGCAAATATATAAGGCTTTCTATCACTTTCTTCTCCTCTTATATCTCATTTTTTACGTCCACTCATAGAGTCGCCGGTCGATTCTCTGGAATAATAAACCTTTGAATAATAAAAATTACATCAATCAATCTCACATTTTAAATTCCCATTTACATAACTTTCCATCCAAAATCAAAACATGCTATTCAAAAATATCTTGCCAATTCTCGCTACATTTCTCGCAAGTCCTTTTCTCGTCACTGCATTTCCAAATGGGGCGGGTACATGTGACGTAAATGCCATGGCAGCAGGAGCGCATGGAGCTTCAGCACAACCTAATAACGGTGGTGCAGATGGATACACTATCACTACCGCAATGAATGGGGCAAGCTATGATATTACACTCAATGGGCCAAAACCAATAAAAGGTCTGCTAATTTATGTTGTTAATGCTAAAGGTGATCGAATTGGTGATTTCAAAATCCCGACGGGTCTCCAACAAAAACAATGTAATGGTACTGGAGTCAACACATTAACTCATAAAGATAGCACATTAAAAACTCTTCCGATGAAACTTTCGTATAGTTCGGGAGGTGTTAAAACCGGACAATGGAAAGTTATGTCGTTGGTTGTGCAAGATTTCAAGGATTGGAATAAATTAGACGACACAACTTTTGATCTGGCCACCGGAAAAGTCGTCAGTGGTGGAGCTAATGGAACTACTGGAACTAATGGAACTGCTACTGGAACTAATAGTACGTCATCGACTACTTCTAATTCTACTTCTTCTTCTACTGATACTTATTCATCACCAACATCAACCGACACATCAGGCACATCAGGCACTTCCGATGCCTCGTCCAACAGTTCATCAAGTGGATCAGGATATGGTGCTTCTGGCGCATCTCACCAAGCGGACATTTCATTCACTGTCTATGCTTATTCAACTATCGTTGCTTTAGTTTTCTTAATGCAAACTATGAATAGACTTTAATCTTCTAAAAGATCTCATTCGCTCAAAATTTAAAGTTTGTAAGACGTAGACGAAATAATAATTGTGGCTTTTCATTTTGTGTACTGTATATTATAATAAAATGTGATATTAAAACAACACAACTTATTTAGCACATAGTAAATTGATGTAGTACTATAGGAAACTTATTAGACAAAAGGCAGGATTCTTTTTTATTTTTTACAATTCAATTTAATTTTATGGGTGGACAATTCGATTTTCCATTGAATAAAAAAATCACATTTTTATAAAATGATTACTTTGACCAGATTGACCACTTATCCATTTAAATACACATAACAATAATACCCAACAGCAGAACAAATAGAACTATTGCATAAAAATCATTTTAGTTGCAGGAATGGTATAATTATAATAAGACATGATTTTCACCGTAAAGGTTGCTATATGATGATAGACAACTCGTAGAGCACTGTTTAAAATATTCTCCTCTAGAAGAAGCTTGCCATTAAATTTAGTCTCAAAGCAAATAATTTAACAATCAAGCGTTTTGAAGAATTGTATTATTCATTTAGTCAAAAAATTATTTTTTTCCTTGGGAAATTTGAGGCTAAATTTTAATGTCAAAATTCTTATAGGGGAGAATATTTTAACAGTGCTCTAAGGGTATCATGTGATATATGTAAATAATCAAAAATGGTCGCACTGATAATAACACTATTTGTCTAATACTAAGGTAGGACATGAAAAATTAGCGATAGGATAAATCACTCTATCAAAGAAGATTATAAATATTATACATGTACTATAAAATCAACAAGAGATATACATACAAGACCAATGTTGGCCTATGATATCATATGGTCTGTATGAAAGATGATCGTACAATCAAAGTCCTTTACAACGGCGCCATATACACTGGATTCGGCTTTTATCGAAGCCACTACATATGTAAAAACATTCTATAGCAAATAGCTTAGTCACATCAAATACTGCGCCACTGCCGAATTTTTTGATGAATTATCATTTCCAATGCTAAATTAAAATTTGTATAAAAAAATAATAATATAATTTTGCATGTTGAAACTTAGCCAATTCAAAATAATACATAGTGCTAAAAATTTGGCTATTATTATTAAAATTAATAATAAAAAGTCGAATTACAAATAATTTTCATAAAATAATGAATAAAAATAAATATATAAGATTATAAAATATATTAAATACTATTTAATAATATATTATTTTATAATTATAAATAAAATTTCTTCACAATCTAAAGTATTAGATCTTTAAAACTATTTATATTATATCCAATTTACTAATAAAAGTATTATATATCAGTTTAAAAATTCTATATTAATATAATTATTATAAAGAATTTTAACTATATAATCATTTAATATGATATTATTATTATATAAGAATGAAGTTTTTATAATAAAAATTATTAATTATAATAATATTTTATAATAAACTTGTTATAATAATTATAATATTAAAATTATTATTCTAAATTATAATTTATTAATAAATATTACTAGTTATAATAATATTATTATCAAGATTAGCTCCTAAGTTAGTTTAAATATGTTGTTTAAATATTTATATTTTTACTAATTAAAATAAAATTTGATTAATAAAAATTTTTATACTAATTTTATAATTAGAATAACTCTTATAAAAAATCTAAAAAAATATATGTTAAATTATAATTAATAAGCTTTATTTTAATATAAAAGTAAAAATTATTTCTTAATAAAATTATAAATTTTAATATAGAGTGAAAATTTTAATTTTCACTATATTTTATTAATAAATTTAGTTTCTGAATTATTACTTTAATTATTATTAGATATTATAAATATAAATAAGAATTTAAAAAAATTTTATTAATTATATAAAATAATAATTAAAAAAAATATAATTCTTATTAATTATAATTAATAAAATATTTATAAATAATATAATACTTTAATTTTTTATTAATTATATTAGTAAAATATATATTTTTTCTTATATAAAAGTTTTTAATTTTACTAACAAATATTTTTTATTTTAGTTCAAAAATAACTAAAATTCTCTAATTTAATATATATTTTTTCAGATTTTTTTGAATTTCTACTAATAATTTATATATTATATATAAAATTAATTAATTTTTATTAATTATTAATAAAAATTAATTAAATTTATATAAAATATATAAGTTATCAGTAAAAAAATCTGAAAAATCTGAAAAAATATATAATAAATTAAAAAATTATAATTATTTTTTAAGTTAAAAATAAAAAATATTTACTAGTAAATTAAAATCTTTTATATAATAACTTTAATTATAAAATCAAAGAATTAATTTTACTAATAAAATATAGTAAAAATTAAAATTTTCTCTCTATATTAAACTTTATAATTTTATTAAAAAATAATTTTTATTTTATATCAAAATAAAGTTTATAAATTATAGCTTAATATATATTTTTTTTTTGATTTTTTTGAAAAAGTTATTCTAATTACAAAGTCAATATAAAAATTTTTAATAATTAAAAATAAAATTTAATTAATAAAAATTTTTGCATTGACTTTACAATTAGAACAACTATTTTAGAAAAAATTTAAAAAATCTGAAAAAAATATATATTATTACTTATAAACTTTATTTTAATATAAAAATAAAACTTATTTCTTAATAAAATTATAAAGTTTAATATAAAGAGAAAATTTCAATTTTTATTAATAAAATTGATCTTCTAATTTTATAATTATGAAAGTCATTTAATTTGAGTATTAATTATTAATTTCTTTTAAGAAAATAAAATATTATGTGTTATTTCTTGCTATTTTAAAAATAAAATAATAGTAAAAAAGAATAAATTAATTCAAACAGTAATTTGTCTGATCAATCAAATTATAAGATTAATATATAATGCAATCTAATAAATTGATTTATTTATAATATAGTCAATCACAATATTTTAAAATTGCATTTAGAGAAAATATGCAATAAAGTATATATGCCCCATATAAAAAAAAATATGCATTTAGAAGAGTTATGCATTTAAAGGATATCATTTAGAGGAGTGCAACTGTACTATTTAAATACGTGTTTTATAACTCTTATAAAAAATAAAGCTTACTTATTTTCATTTAATACAATTGCATAAAACACTATATAATGATAAGAACAATCTCTATAAAATTTCGAGAACTATTGAACTGGTACATATATTAAAATCGTCTCTTTGTAAGAACAAACTCTAAGACCTAGATTTCTGGCCCAACTGTGTTCTTATGAGGTGCAATTGTATAAGCAAACTAGTAAAGTTTATGTTCTTTAGGTTGGATTATCTGCGCTATAACTTGAAATATTGCTTATAAGCTGTGTTCCTTGCGAAAATTTTGAAATATATAATAATTCTAATCCTAACCGAAAAGTTAAGATAATAAAGAGAATACTAGATGGTTTGGTGTAGAGTTGAAGATAGGACGCAGAGTTGCATTACGTATATAGATGTCATTTGTTTTTAATCAGTTTGATTATGCGCTTGTCTATTTATGTTTGTTAATGAAATCATATGTACCAAATGGAAATTTCGGACCCATCCGTTATATAGAATTTCATTTTGTGAAAACCGGAACTTAATGGTAAGTTTTCTATTTTGTTATTTATTATTTTCTTTACCAGTTAACTCATTGCTCGTGAAAAATTTAAACAGTTATTCTAGAATTTAATATCTATCCAAGATCACAGCATGCTGTGAAATAAATTACACTTATTTTTTATCATGGAAATTTTGCTTACTACCTTATCAATCATACGGATAGCTAAAAATCAATATTCTTACAAAAATAAACAAAGCCTACACGAATTCCAAAGCATTACATTACCACGTCTTCACCGTATCCCTCGGAAATTTGTAGCATGGCTATTCTCAAATTTTAATGGATACTATTTATTAATAAAGCATTACTGTGGTGCATTGTTGTTAATACACGGTGTAAAAAGGGAAAACAGCAGTGTATAAAAATCCACGTGCATCTCTTTTTAAACCTTTCACGAGTTTCATCTTGGACAAGTGCACTGATTTATTAGGACCTAAGTTACTATTATAATGTGTCATGGGAAAATCAAGTTTAGGTTAAATTTTCTTGTACAATAAACTTCTCTAAATACAGCCTCCCACCTTGGACTAGCAATAAGCATGCCTTAGAGAGGGTGGGTACTTATAAAAAGTAAACAATTCGAGACCTTATAAGCTTAGGATTTTGTCATGAAAGAGTGTATTTATCTGCATATATAAGTTTCTTAATCTCATTTTCATTTTTGTTTGCCATATTCAACATTCATAACAAGCTTAATTTACTTAAATTTTAAACTGTAAGGTAATCTATACGAAGATCCCGGTATTGTACAAAATTTGAAATTGATTTTGGTTACATACCCGGTATTTTACTGGGAGAGTTTATAAAAAGGAGGGGGGATGATTACAGGTACTATAAGTTGTGCTATACGGTTGGCAAAGAGAAGTTACGTATTTATGCTCCTTTTTCCCACAGAACTGTTCTTTCTAAATTTTTCTCGCAAATATCCTGCAAAGAACACCAAGGACAAATGATTAATTTAAAATTTGAAATATCTGGATTCAAATAAAATTAATACCTATAAGCCTTAAACCATGTCTTGCACTCATCGCATTCTTTACGTAGCTCTCCGATCATATTGTCGAATTCTTGATCCGTTACTCCGAGCGGAGCTTTCAGTATTGGTTTCAGTCCAGCTAATTCATTCAGAGTATTTTCAAGGGTCTAATTTTGATTTGTACTTTGTAAATTGAATAGGATATCACATATAGAATATTATAGGAAAAAACCCTACCAATTCCGCAATTCTACCAGCATAACTACCAACAGGCATTCGTTCAACGAGGACTTTAATATCGGTAAATTGTCCATTCTCCTTGAGGAACTCTTCAATGCGTGTGGCTATTGATGAATTGACCCCCTTAGTGGCCATTATGCAAGAAACTACAAAATCCATACAATAAGCTTTGAATAACAAATATTAAACACACATATTTGAGATTACTTACATGTATTTGAGATATTTTCGTAAATAGGACCTTGATCTTCCCACTTGTCACTTTCTTCATAAAACTCACAATACCCACCGCTCTTTGTAACTCGCGCAATCTCAGGAATCACAATAGTTTGCCACTGTGTCTCTGTATAGGCGTGCATTAAATCACGTTGATGAACAAAATCAAAAGAGCCATCATCGAAAGGAAGTCGATCTAACACGTTCATTTGCAAAAATAAAAGATTTTTTTTTGTTTCCTCTTCCCCTGGGAATAAATTTATCAAATCCACGCCGACAAAAGATGATCGTGGGTATTCTTTTGCCATATCAACTATCCATGCACCTGTGCCACACCTTCGATAATTAAAAGTAATAAATATCGCGTTTTCGATAGCATACACGAGAATTTATTTGTTTTTTATATGTTATTTACCCAATGTCAAGAACTGTCATTTTATCAGCAGCTAATTTTTCTTTAATTGGCGCTGCAAAATTCTCTTTCCAAATCCATCTTATTCGAAAATGTCTATTATTCAATCGATTAGCCTCTATTTCATCGCTAAAAAAAGAATATTCTTTTTTAAGTTATCCGAGAAAAAAATAATTATCGTAGCTTGCGAACTAAAGTATCTTCTTCCCTCTGTAGAAAATTTAAATCTTCATATAGTCCAATGTTTTTTGGCAAATGCGAATTCAAAAATTCATGTTACTAAAATAACGGCTTTAAGTTAAATTTTCTACAGGGAACCGTACTATAGTGCGTAAACCATTATATTGTTTTCAGGTTGCTTGTCACGTTGTTAGTAGTAGAATATACCTTGGGAATGGATAAGTTGCTCCATGGCTAATGAACTTACGGCCATCTATTATCACATAGCTTTCAAATAAACTTTCGTCTTGGAATTTTTCCATTTTTACTATATCTATGATTGTATTACCAAGTCTAGTAAATTCCTTCTAGTATCCTACATGTTCGAAAAAGTTGACAAATTCTTATAGTTTTATATGGTTGAGTCTTATTCGTTGAGAATAATAATGACAGAGAGCGGGAAAATAAGATTTGGTTTATTTACACCATTCAAACATTAAATTTTCATTTCTAATGTAACGTTTCAGGCGAAACATTACGATCTTAAATCTGTCAAAAGAAAATTTCCTAATCTCCTTACACGATGCACAGAATACGATAGTAATTCGTATCGTAACCGTTTTAACTTAATTTATCGGCTTATCTCCTGTTGGTTTGTTATTAATAATGAAATACCCGTATGTTATTGAACTTTTTGAGCAACTATGAAAATCTCCTCTAATGACATCCTTACTTGTTACCTTCTTTTATCAACCTTCTTAGCATGGAACGTTCTTGTTAAATGACAAATTATCATTACATATTTTGATATACACCGCAGGGATATGTCGTTAGTTTAATATTACACAAACCTTAATTTTTTTTGATATACTCTATATGATTTGTTTACTGTGCGTGCGCAAAAAATGTCTATATATGATTGATCAATCTCATAGAAGAGAATTTTTTGTGAGAACACAATGACGATAAGCTTAAGCAAATAATAATTTGGGCAATCTAATAAGGAAAAAGAAAATAGAAACTAGGACGATACAATACATACAGTTCACTGATCTCGACAGATATTAAAATATTAGGCTTTTTGAATTCGCTGTGGTCTTCCAGAATTAACGCAGATACCAATATCATATAAATGCAATAATCAAAAACAAAAAGGTTTTCTTTGTCTTTGAATTAATAATTTGCATCAATACTCACTCTTCTAAACAAGAACAAACCCTGTAGGGACAAAATATATACCAATTATATATTTTTGTCGAGATCATCCTTCTCTTTTACATGTATAGTCTACATACATACATTGAATGGTGTACCAATAAATGTGCAAATAGGAAAAAAAAATCATCAACGTTAATCTACGATTCTATGATTACCAGTTACTATTACATAGCGAAATTGGAGTTCGTAACACGTAAATAAAATATGAATATCAGTAAAAAGGTAATATAATTGATCATTACATAGAATTCAGATATTATCTTTCTCCATTGGCGTTTCTTGATCTTCTTGTCCTTCGTCTTCGAGTTCTTCTGCAGGGCTTTCCTCGATTTGATCTTCCTCTGGTTCTCCCTCATTTTGTGAAGCAGAAGAAATAACCACGGTTCTTCCAGTCGAAGCTTTAACGAACGAATCGAAAAAAAATCAGTATAAAAAATAAAAATAAACAAAAAAACTTAGATTCACCGGAAGAGTTTTCCCTGCTCTTGCTTTTCTTGGGCAATAACGATGCATGGATGTTAGGCATGACACCTCCCTGAGCGATAGTCACGGTTCCCAACAATTTATTCAATTCTTCGTCATTACGAATAGCCAATTGGAGATGACGAGGAATGATTCGTGCCTTGCGATTATCACGAGCGGCATTTCCGGCCAATTCTAAGATTTCGGCGACAAGATATTCCAACACGGCGGCTAAGTACACTGGCGAACCGCTTGCAACCCGAAATCTGAATTGTCCTTCACGAAGTTTACGGTGGAGACGTGCAACTGGGAAAGTAAGTCCCGCCTTTTTTATAATCGTTAAGAATAAAAGCATTAGTATAAAGTTATTTTATTAGAAAATAATTTTAATATACTACATACTCTTTTTGAGCGCGAAATCGTTTCGTTCTTTTGAACTTTCTTAGACGCCTCAGCGAGATTTTCTTTACCAGTCATGTTATTCTTTAAATTTGTAATAAGATGATAAAATTTGTAGAAGATTAAAACTTAAAAAGATTTTAAAATAAAAACATGATCATTTGCCTTATCATAAGCAGTTTATATATCATAATTAAAGTCAAATTTATCAGTAGAATAGCATAATTTAGTAAGATACATGTAATTGATCATACGATCAAAGTTTGCTAAAAATGCATAATATAGTTAGATTTATGAAATGCCGAATTTATAGAAAAGCAGCAAGACAATAATATATTTTGAAAGGCTCAAAAAATTTTAGTAATAAAAAATCACTTTCCTAATTAATAATGTTTGCTTTTAGCAAATAATTTACTCTTTCAAAAAAAGGACATTTTAACTTTTAAATATTATCTTTGTTCTTTCGTTGCTATTTATTTGAATGGCTAATTAGTTTAGTGATAGCATCAAGCGCATCTCCCAATTCTTTCTATTGATCTTGCAGTGTAGTTATCAAGAAACGTCCGAGCGATGTTATTTCCTATACGTATATTTTTCTGGGTTTTATCGAATTGGATTTATTGCATGGAGAATGCTAGAAAGTTTAAATGTTTTAACTTTATTAAAATTTTCTTCATTTTCTGCTCAAACAGCCGAGGAGGAAACCACCAATAACTAGTTTCTAACGTTATGCTTAGATCGTATCGTAAAACTTGGATATTTTAAAGCATCAAATCATGTAGGCAAATTTATAAGAATTTTTCCACAAATATGTTCGTTTTTATTGGAGCTTTTTTTATTTGTTTACACATTTAATATTTTCAGTTAATTTGGGGTTGCGAAACCAATTTTTTTCGAGTCCATGTCAAAAACCGTATATGTAGTGGTCAAGAACGCAGCGCCGAGTATCCATTCCTATTTAAAAAAATCAGCATAATAAATTTGATCCAAATTAACAGTATGAGACGAAATAAAAAGAAGAAAACACATACATTATCATCTTCATCCATAGCATTCACCCAACTCTCACAATAATCTTCATCAATAACTCCAGCCATCTCTTCTTTTTTCCACGAAACTTCACCAACAACCTTCTTCCACGGTACATTAAACTCACGTTTCGCCAACACCACCGTAGCAGCAATCCCGTCGCTTTCTTTAAACGAGCACGGAAATGCCCATAAGTTCGTTTCGCCATCGTATCGTGCTTGTGGTATACTCGTATGAAATTCATGCACAATTGCACTTGGTAAGATAATCGAAGTCGTACCAGTATCAATTAGCGCGTGTCCGCTTCCAATATACACACCATTTTGGTCGTCTTCCGACTGGTAGTCAAAAGAATCTACCGGGAAATAAGCAGCTATAGAAGAAGGGTAAAGAATCAATTCATCAATCGGTATTATCCAATCCGTATCAATGTGTTTTGAAAGATGGACCCAATTGATTTTTCCGTTGTACTGTGTTCTATCTATTCCGCCAAAAGTGTATTCCCCATGTTTAGAGTTAGGTTGTTGAAAATAAACCGCAAATACTCGTTTAGAGATTTGATATTGATTGAAGAGAGTTTCTATCGGTGTTACCGGTATGTGAATATCAGCATTATTGAATGAGAATCCAAGTCCAAATACTCCGTCAATTTTTTCTTGATCTTTCCAACCATCTGATTCTGTTAATGCGAGTCCAAATGTTTGATTATCTGCTTTTGCTCCCCCAATCCATATTGTATCTTGTACATAATATCCTTCTGCTTTGTCACCATCCGCGTATTCTATGTCCCATAATGAATGTCTTTCCATTATGCATGTACTTGATTTGAATGGATCGAATAACCCGCGGGATTGGCATACAGCTGATTTGCATTCTATAGAAGGTAACCATAACTCTGCAGATCCTGTATCAAACTTTTCAAAAAAAATACATGTTAATGGTCGGAAAAAGCATAAGAAAGAAATTTTTGTCATATTTACTTGTACATGAAATTTTTGTGGTGGGTTTCCTACTTGTATTGGCGAATAAAACTTCAATTATCGAACAAGGGAAAATTAGCTAACAAATGAAAAATATTAATGATCGTCACAGTTGGTAATACATACGGTTCCCGAAGAAAAAGTTGATTTTGCTTTTCGAAGCCGTCTCTTTAAAAGTTTCCGTGTTACAGGCTCATATTTCTGAAATGGTATTCTATTGAAAAATCGAATAAAATCACTCGTCAAAAAATGTTAAAAAATGTGCCTACACGAGATATGAATTATACCTGATAAGATGATCTTCAGTATCACGTATTATCAAGCTATTAACGTTAACGAACAGTATTAAGCATGATATAAAACTTAATAGCGCAAAATATTTGTGCATTCTCTTTTTAAGAAAAAGAATGTTTTTATATGGATCAGCGAAAGAAATTTGAGATTGATTAGGTATTCGGATGTTTTGGGAAATTGAATCAATTCTATTGATATTATTATAACTTTTGTAATCTATACAAGAGAGGGATGAATTAAATTAGGGAATATATAAATTTTTTAAATTACAATTGTTGTCGAAAAATGAATAATTTTCCCTAATGGATCTATAATATAAAAAGAATGTAAGGTAAAATAAAGTTATTCTATATACACCGACAACAAAAACAACAATAAATCAAATCAAAATATCATTTTAGCTAGAAAAGAACAACCTTAAATAACAAAAAAAATTACAATAATATTCATAAATAATCACAAAAATAGCCACCATGCATACTATACACGACATACAAATCGCTCTTTATGGCGCATAAGCGACGAGATCACTTTTTGGCAATCTCTTTATTTCAAACCACAATTATTTGATCTAATTATTAAAAAAACTATTTTAGTAATTAATAAAGATTAATTTCCTTTTTTGTCTTTACATGAAACACGGCAATTGGTTAATTGGTTAAAGACATTGCATCTTGTTTATCCTTCATTAAAGGCATGATTTGTAAGGGAATAATATTTTGATTCGAGGTGGTGAAATTTTTTATTTTATATATATAAATAAAAATCCCGAGAACATGCATCACAAAAATATTTGGCAAAATTTATGTGATGAATTTTGAAAGCTTCTTGATAAAACAGATCAGTTATAGCAGACACAAGGATGAGCAAATAAAAAAACGTTAGAACTATTGAAAAATAGAAATTATTTATGATAGCATCTTTATTTAAAGTTACCCTCCAAAATTGGTCTTGGCAAATCGTATCTAATAAATAATATTTAAGATAGTTCGCACCTTTCATGAAAGCAAAGCATCTATGGTGTAGCGGTTATCACGTGTGCTTTACACGCACAAGGTCCTCGGTTCGATCCCGAGTAGATGCATATTTATTTAACCCCTTTTAAGGACTCAGAAGAGGTGAGATTTTGCAAAGAACGTAAAATCCCGAAATAATCCCGAAATGAACCCAAATTACATAACAATAATTTTATGTTAACTTCAGTACCAAATAAACCATTTTTAATCAAATTCACAATTTAGAAGCAAACCAATAAATAACAAACAATCAGAACTTCATCAATTTATCTATGATTCTATAACCGCTCAATTTTAGCGGACGATCTCGCAGCTTCTTCATTCAAAAATAAATCTTCATTAGAAGATAAAGTGACTGTTCCATCACGAAGATATTTCAGGTTGTTCTCTTCGATTCGGGAAGTCACGTAATTATAATTGATCATGATTCCAAATGACTGCTCGAATCCTTTGTCTAAGATTTATCATGATGATAAATATGGGAACAAAGTGAGATTAAATTTACGCGAAAAATTGGACTCTTACAGTTTTATCGATTACCTGAAGTATCGCTTAACCAATTTATTCGATGTATACATGCGCCGTTTCTTATATGAAAGTTAGCTGTTTTAGGAGGGAAAATAACACGAAAATGAGTAAGAGAATACATATGTTTATAGATTTAAAATTTTTCGTACCAACTGGATCGCGCGCTAGATTACGACGCTTTTCAGTCAAAATATACCTAATGAAGAATTCAAAAATCAACTTTGGTAATACACACACACATACACACATATATAAGCATGCAAGCTAACAAACCTGGAACATAATCTCAATAGAACAGGTTTCAGAATCTCATTACTCGTCTCATTATGTGCCCACTCATTAGACTTTAGAATGTCTTTTAGTATCTTGACACCATCATCAATTGCGGAATCAGTTGATACTTGATTTGCAAGGGTCTTTATTCTATCCTCTTCGCCGCTCAAAAAGATATTAGTACCTTCAAGTTCGAGTGTTGTTTCTAACCAGTTACGAAATCCAGGAATTGGACTAAGTGTAGAAAAAGTATGAATGCTAGGAAATTCTTTTTGTAATTCAATTATAACTCGCTTCAGTAGGAAACTTCCTAGTTCAATGCCCGATAGACCAGGTTGGCTGGTTATTGAATAAAATATTGCATATTGAGGGTGATCAGGTGTCACGGGTGATCGGTCGTTTAATATAGTCTATAAATTTTGAAATGTAATTAACATCTACAGAAATAGTGTCTAATAGATAATAATAATATATATACCTGAACATTTCCAGATAATTCACTAGTTAGTGCTATTTGTACAAAAACAAGAGGCTCGTGTGGTATAGTTCGATAAAAGTATCCAAAAAGACGCCTGTCTATTTTTTTTTTTTTTTTTGATACAATATTATTTTCATGCCTAATATAACATACTTTGATAATAAGCAATTTATACCAGGTCCGACTCGTCTTCATAGGATTTAGCAAAAATATAAATATAAATAAAAGAACAATAAAATTTATTACTAAAGAACAAAAATTTCAAAATAAAAACCTGCCTTTTCAGATCCTGCCATCCTTGTATAGCATGGACGCGTTCATATTCTCTCAACTGATCCCCCAAACGATGGACATAAATTAGAAAAGAATGACCAATAATAATAACTATGTTCAAAATAAATACCTTTTCCAGAAGAATTGCTGGCGATTTCCACGTGATTCGCTCAAGTTCCGAAAATCCAATCAGCCAACCTCTAAGTTTTTCTTTTAATGAATTATTTAGTGCCATCAAATACGTATTATCTTCATATTCTCGCACATTAATAGTAGTCTACCGTAATAAATCGCAATGAACGATCATTAGAGGACTCTGAAAAAATTCTGCACCACGAAAAAAGTCTACATACAAGCAATTCCGTGCGGAAGTCTAACAGAAACTTTGTCCCGTCTGGCAAATCATTCACACGGTCAAAGAAAATATTATGGTAAGGTACTAAAACATGACGAAGTAGTTGTTCGGCGCGAAGAACTGCATTGGCTGTCTATTCATACAAGCGCTTTTTACATTCGAGGAGTTGAAACCCAAATCGCATAATACATATTCCTTGTAAAGCTAAAATATACGCGTTGTTTACAGTATGATAGCTTTGAAGATCCATACCTTGTCTTCTCTGGTAGCTTCAATGTAGTTTTGTGCGGCTTTTAGTGATTCGTCTTGTGGTACTCCTATATGAAAAAAATTATCTATCAGATTGGCATTTGTAAATGAAGAATGTTCTAATTATTCTCACCAAATTCACGAGCTAACACTCCCATAAACAAGATTCTTCCTTCCTATAATAAATCATTCGTATTAAAATAATTCTTTTTGATATAACATCTTCAGTTGATAGATCGAGAACCTTATCCAATTTCTCGTATAGTTCACAGCATCTTTTGGCAAAGATGCTAGGTAATAAGTCTCCCTCCGTTCGTTTTTGAGAAATAGCACCGGAAATCAACTTTCGTATGAATTTGGGGTCCCTCATGGTAGACAGAGAATCCGGCCCATCAAAATGAAAAAAGCCTGCAAACAACGTAAAACTATATTATTTTACACCGTATTTCGACATACTTAAACCAAACTATATGCTCTAATACCAGGCTCGTGGATATAAGACTCGATATCATGCCAATAGTCCTCAATAACATTCGATTTCAGTGTCTTAGAAAGTATTTGTTCCTTAACAGCCGAACTTTCTATTGCCACAGTTTTCTTAGTATGATTTTCATTATTTGTTGATGCATCAGTTGAATAGTTTCGTTTGTTTTTACACATGATGGATGACATTTTTTGTAAAAGCTGGCAGACAAAGGAATCATATCAGTTTTTATATACAGTAAAAAAAACACGAGGAAATTAAACTTTTATTTACAGTGCTCGAGTTTCGTGAACGATACAAGGTTCGAAACTTTGTTCTAGAAGTGGTCACTGTAAAGTAAGAAATAGAACGAGTTGCCGACAAGAACATAATATTTAATTCAAGAGAAAATTTTTCTCTTCCCGAGACCCAAAGTTTAAAGACATAACTGCTGATATTTATATCAATTTCTAATGATCGGCGATTTTTATTGCCATTTATGATATTTATAGATGTTAAAAACGGTAATGAAACCAAACTGCTAAAATTTCGTGAAATAATGGATTACTTTGTAGAATATATCGTTAATAGGCAGTTAAGCGTATTATTAATTAGCGGTCCTTTTTTTCCCTCCTCCCATGCCATTTGATTGCTGATTTTCGGGTTTAATGTACTTTTTTGGCGTATATAAAGTTTCCTGCTCTTTTCCAAGCTTATTCACTCTTCCAATCGTTTTCCAATCAACATCATTAATATGATTGGAGAGTAATTTCTTCTCAATTCGATTTTTTCTCAAGCGAGATTTTTGCTTTTTCCCGAAATTATTGGGTCCGAAGTACAAAGGACATTCTTTAAAAGAATGACTTGCTCCACATTTAAGGCAAGGTTCGGTATGATTTTCCTCGAAATTTTTGGATCCGAAATATAAAGAACATTCTTTCATAGAATCTCGACTGAAGTCGTCCTCGGGCGTATTACTGCGAATGGTTAAATTCTGAATAAATTTGAATAAACTTTCATGATTCATTATTCCGTTTTTTAATTTGAGTAAAAACCAAGTTATGCTCTTTGGTTTTTTACGCGGAACAAAAGCTTATGAAGATGAATGAGTAGTTTACGTGAATTTGCACTGCATGTGGGAACTTTTCGTTATTATATTACACATAACCTATGCTTGTGGGAATAAATCGTAAACATACTTGTGTTTCAATTACTCATTACTTTATAAACCAACAAATTGATCAGAATTTAAAGTAATTTGAAAAATCCTTGATATCGATTCTGATTTTATAATATCGTCCAAATAAATCCAAATGTCAAGTACAAATTACTATATATAGTCATATATAATCAATCTCTCCTGTCAAAATTTTTGTGTAACCAAAATAGACATAATTAGACTATACTTTTTTTTTGAATTAACGTCACATGAAAAGACAAAAAGCTTCTATTCCTAACCGTAGATCTTTAATGGCGAAAATTCCCTGTCACTACCTTCCAAAGCGACTAATAGTAATTGGGTTATGCGCTTTTGCACTTCTAATTAGCTATGCAGGTAGAGAAAAGGTTCGCGTGTTAGCCTTATAGATTTCGATAAGAATAATATCTTTGACAAAATTAGTAATTTAAAGTGTTGTCTTGTTTTCAGATCGTACCAATTTGGCCGTAGGGATAGTGTATATGTCTAAAGAATTTAACTGGGATTCAACTACCGAAGGTGCGGTACTGTCCGCCTTTTTCTTTGGATATTTTATGACGCAGGTTATTGGCGGCGCATTAGCAGATAAATTTGGAGGGAAAATAGTTCTCGGAACGGGTATTTCACTTTAAAATTTCTCGCGTCTATTTAAAAAACAATATTGAAAACACTCTTGCGCTCTGTTATTCTCAAATTTGATCTGCTCGAAGCGGCTTTCTGTTGGAGTGCTTTTACATTCCTCACACCCCCCGCAGCAAAGCATGGACTATATACCTTGTTATTATGTCGTGTCTTATTGGGAGTTGGTGAAGGGGCGGCATTCCCGAGTATTCATTCGATTATTTCTTTGTGGGCTCCAATATCAGAGCGTTCTCGCATGGTAGGAATAACTACTTCGATAGGATACTTTGGCAGTGTAATTGCGCTACCTGCTTCTACATGGCTAGGCTCAGGTCCCGGTGGCTGGGAAAGCATATTCTATTTTTTTGGCGCATTAGGTGGTGTATGGTTGATTCTTTGGGTGATCTTTGCTCAAAGTAGTCCAGCGGAATATCAAGGAATTACTATAGAAGAATATAATTGGATAAATGGAAACTCATCAGTGCAACCGACAAGATATCAGCAACTGGAAGAAAATCAGACGGGGATTGATATTGAAGATGTAAATATGGATTCTAATGATATAATAGTAGCCGCTGGTAGTATTAGTGGATCAATTAAGGGTGAAGACGAAGAGGAATCGGAAGAGTTAGTAATAGAAGAAACGAGCAACACATTGCCATCGTCATTTAAGAAACGTCAATACGAGACTAAAAATATTCCGTGGAATCGCATTCTAAAGCATCGTGAGGTTTGGGCTATCTTAATTGCCCAGTTCTGCAACTCTCTTGGATACTTTGTCATTCTTACCTGGTTACCCACTTTCTTTAACGATCATTTCAATGTTGATGTTAAGAAATTGGGATATTTTGCGGGTAAGACGAGTGTCTTGGGAATTTTGTCTATAATTTATTGATTATTTCTTTTGACAATGGTATCTCATGTAAAGGAAATTAACCAATAATTTTTTTTAAAGTACTACCTTATATTGTTCAAGGCGTGACCGGATGTTTTGTGGGTGTTATCGGCGATTTTGCTATTAATAAAATTGGTTTGAGAATAATCACGCTACGACGATTCGCACAGTTAATTGGAAGCATGGGAATGGCTGTTTTTATGTTATTGGTAATGAATATTGATTTCGATTACAATAAAAAAAAATACGGTTTTGTTACTAATTCTGTTATAATTAAAGGCTACATTCCAAGCGACTACTATAGCACAAGGCGTCTTTTATATCGCATGTGGTATGGGTTTAAATACGTTTACGCTTGTAGGGGTGGTAATGTCCCAGGTATTTTTTTTTTTTTTTTTTTTTTTTTTTTTACTTTAACGCAAATTATTACTTTCGAAATTGAAATACGTATTAATACGATACATGTAAACTTTATCGGTTTTTTTTGATTCTAGCTTGATATTGGTATAAATTTTATCTTATCTGAATTTTTTGTAACCTTACGCAATAAATTTGTTAATAAAAACTCTTATATTATTAAGCGCCACGTTACGCCGGTACCATCTTTAGCCTTGGCAACACAGTGGCTACCATTCCTGGATTTTTTGGCGTTGCACTGACTGGCTGGATACTAGATATCACCGGTCATAATTGGGGTATCATTTGGTCGATTTGTGCACTTTTTTATGTGGTTGGCGGATGTTCGTTCTCCTTGTGGGCTGGTGGAGAAGTAGTGATCGACTAGAATCAATCTTTTTATTATCCGGCTTTGAAGTTTTTAAAATTTATTCATTTATTTTTATTTGCTTAATGATAATGACTAATAAATTATTTTACTAATTTTTGATTCGAAGTTTTTCAACTAAGTAAAGTCTCCAAGACTTCGATCATTCTCAGTTGATTTCTTTGTAATATAGGTTCACTTTTTGTTAGAGCACAGGAAGTATAGGCAAAATTTCGAGATACACGCCATGGTTGCTCAAATTTCCTAATCTGTAATTCATCCAATAAAAAATAAATCTGACTCAAAGCGACGAAAAAAGAGAAAACTGATGCATAAATCTGTCTTGTACTATTAATTAAAAATGTCAAAGTCAATTTTACATATAATTGCTGTTTTCTCACCCAATACAATACTTTTACCCTTATCCTGATTCTAATCGGATGTAATGAAAAATATACAAAGATACATGATTCCAATCAAAGTTTTTGGTTATGATATGCAATCGCGGTGTGTTCTATGATGCTATGAGTTTTGAAAATATAATCATTCATAATAAGCATTATATTTTTCTAAACTCTATGTCGTCCTTTCGCATGTGCGTTTTTTCACAATGTTTAAAATTCATTACATTTAGAATATTTAATTTCTTCATTCTCGCTTCTGATGTTTCTGATAGTTCCTATGAATTATGACTGAATTTATAGCATAAAGTAGTAAAACGAAATAAATTTGACTCCAGTAAAAGCTTACAGTACTTTCAATATCCGATGATCTCAGAAACATGTTCGAAAAGGCCATTTTAGAGCCTGCATGGAGTTTCTCGAGATAATTCCTTGCAGCATTCAGAAAGTTCACGGAAGCGTTTTAGCAATTCGAAATATAGCTGCAGGTGAGACCATCATGTGTCTATCAAGATATATGAGTAACTTCGAAATAACGTCTTCAATCATCTCAATATCCAACGTGAACCTGGTAATATGTCACCACCAAGTTTCTCCACCCATGATTAAGATGACGCCGACCACACCTATATACATTTATTCTCAGTCATCCCGCCCTACAGTGAAATATGTGTCTTTGAATTTAGAATCCAACTTTTCGAAAGCTGAACGGCTTGTAACGTTCCAATCTCAACAACGAATATGAGATCCATTCTGTCGTGCATCCAATTTGTGATCTGTTTCTTTAGGCGTGAAGACAACATCTGATGCTCTAATCATTCTATCACTTCTGACATTGAAATCAAATAATCCCTGTGAACAAGTACATTACGATTACTAATCACTAGCTTACTGCTCAAATTCCAAACCAAACCCAAGCTCTTCGGTCATTCTATCACTTGCCGGTCTCCACATATTTTTTCTCCATTAAACAAAAAGACAACCTCGAGTACCCTGCCAAGTTTGAGTAATCCAAATAAAAAGTAGCCTTGCAATTTCACCAACAACCTTTTCTCTAGTGTATGGTCTTTCTGGATAGGGATTAACCTTTCTTTTTCGTCAAAGGTTCCAACAATTTCTCGTTGGGTATGAAAAATAAAAGCATAACTTTGGAAATTTACTTAATGTTGATTCGAGAACAAGTACGTCATCAAATGTCTAATAGTGTTGCACGAGAAGTTCTCGATATTTTAACTTTAATTCTATCGTATAAATCACAAGCAAATAAAGAAATGACCTCAAAAAAGTACCAGCCTCTAGCTGTTTATAATCAAAAGCATTTTTATAAGGTAGAAGACTTGGGTGATGATGTGAGAAGTGCGATATTTTACATTAATAATCCAAAGGTAGAAAAATGATGTTGAATTTAATTCTTTTTTAGTTTCCATAATTTAACGTGTGCCTTTAAATTTACAGAAATCACTGGACTGCGCGAATTTGAAGAAAACTTTATCATCCTTATTATGCTCGGGTGATAATAATCTGTCTGATACAAATATTCTTACGGTCGAAATATTAGAAAAAGAAAAAAATTGCGCAAAGGTTAAAACAACAACAACTTGTGAATTATATCCATGGAAGAAACGTTAAATAGCATTTTTTAATTTTTACTATAGGTGAAAATTGATTTTCCTTTAGATCAACATCTTACACAATTCTATCAACATCTTTGTAACTGCGACGACTCATTATTAAAATTTTCCCAAAATGGCTTTGCCGATTGGATTCCTGCAGATATTAACAGCGTAAAAGCTTACACGACAGACATTGATTTTTCATTTGACACAAAAGCAGCATCATCCTCATTTTCTAAAAATAATGGAAATAACAATAATAATACACAAAAAATTATTGGTCCCGAACAAATACAAGCAAAAATCAAAGATCTGACTGAACATTTTTCATCGAAATCAATTGAAGATATCGAGAAGATTCTTTGTGATATTTTCCCGAACAGCGATATAAAAGTTTCGATAAAAGATGGATTGATGTTTATTTTTGTTGTTTTCATGACATTTTTTGAGGAAAAGAATGCAGAGTGGTTTATGAATTTATTTAATATTCTACTTAAAGCTGAGGGCTTCCCGCTTTTAGAAAGCACTTCGGTATTTTTTTTTTCTTTTTAAAAAAAAACTTTCAATGATAAATATTAATATTAATATTGGTCAATATCCAGGGAGTCGCTCCTTGTCTTCAACTGATCTTTCTTATAATTGAAGTATTACAATGGACAGGTACAGCAAAAAAATTAATACATCAAAAGAAGTCACCTCATTGTTATTGACTCACAATTTCTGAATCCTCCCTATAATTGAATAGTACCTCTAAGTGAAGGCAAGTTAATTTCACGATTTGATAATAATAATAATAATAATAATAATAATAATATCTATAATAGAATTTGCTTTTTCTTTTATCACATAAGTTTGTTATAACCCAGATCTCTCTTCTAGTACTCGATCGAGTTGCTCAATGTGATGAGAAATTCGATACAGTTCTCGATGTCAATAAACAAGATTGTCTTACATGTGTTGAAAAGATTGAGAACGAGTTGGACGCCGTTTTCACATTGATGCAGACGAAACCTTTTTTCTTCAAGAAAAAGCAATATATGAAAATTCATGGTAAAATTTTTCGTGGGTTGTTACTTTTAAATAATTCTGCTTAGTATTTTCTTAATTATTAGTTTTTTATATAATATTTAGCTGGTCTTGATCAACTTTTGAATTCTTTAAAGGATTTTGTAACTATCTTATACCTTTTATCGTATTGTGGTGTAGTCATGTTTTTTGCATACTTGGATGATTTTATTTGATCAATTTTCTGCTTTTTCAGATGAAATTTTTAAAGAAAGTTTCCACGCAGCTTCACGAACATTTAAAAAGTATCAAAAACCAAAAAATTTGTTGGACGGCTGCTTATGTTGCTGCGATTTGGTAATATAAGCATACGATTTTTTTATAGATTATATGTTTCAATACTGATATAATATGAATTTAAAACCAAATAGTACCGCAGTGGGTTTTTTGGCTTACGGAGCTTTGAACGTGGGACTTTTATTTAGAAAGGTATAGATAATCATGATTATTGTTGAGTTCTTTTCTTCTATTATTATGTAATTTACTTTTTGAGCGTCTCTTATTCAATTACGAAAACTCTCCTTAGAAACTATTATTAGGTGGAATATTTGTCGCTGGAAAAGTAGCATCAGAAATTAGTCTACTTCGCGAAGGCTTGGAAATATCAATAGCACGGCAGTCCGAAATTTTAGACCAGATAAATAATTTTCATTCGAATATTCAAGAAATGGAGGTTACATTAACAGGGAAATCGGTAGTTAACATTAATTCTTTTTGTTTATTATTGGTCGATAATTAAAGATAAATTTTAATTATCTTTATCTTAGTTGAATCAAATGAGCGACATGAAAGAGGAAATGGAAATATTAGCAAAAGAATTTAAAATAGCATGCGTCGACATCCGAAAAGTATTTGAAGGGAAATCAAGAAATAAATGATGAGACTTATTGAACATATTTTCATTCAGTATAGTAATTTTTACCATTTAATTAGATTGATGATTTCTGAAGAAGAATCTTTATTATTATTAACAAATAAATAATAATAATAATAGTCTATATTCTTTTAGCTTTAGTAGACAATTCTTGTTAATATATTAGCCTTTGTAGCGCTTACATATTCGTAAATTTTTCGAATTTCCTCATAGGTTACATTCGAGATATCGGCCATCAAGTAAGCGATTTCTCCACGCGAATCAGAGAATTGTTTCTCGACATTATGATCGGAGAGAATATCGTTAATCTCCTTTATAACATAAAATGTATTATATATTGATGTACATATGACATCAAATAATAATAAATGAGAGATGATATTTGAATATTCATTATTTACCTTTAATACACCAGGTACATTTTTATGGGCAAACAACAAACGACATGAATTTTGCGTGGCTGCTGGAATAGCACGAAGATCTACTTCTGGAAAATTGACAGCGCCAATTGATGTTCCATTATTAATGTATTTTGTAAGGAACCCTGCCACCTCGATGCCGATCATTCGCTGTGCTTCTTCTGTAGAGCCACCTGGAAAAAAGATATATGTCAATAACTAATTAGGTTATTTTAAAAGTCAAGAAGATTCATGCCTATATGCGGTGTCAATATAAGATTTTTGCATTCCAACAAGTCGTTTGCCCATTCATTCAACTCTTTATTAAACGCATTTGATCCATTGGAAGCTGGCTCACGTGGAAACACATCTAACGCTGCGCCCGCCAAATGCTTATTCTTTAGCGCTTTAATCACTGCCGGGATCTGCACAACAGTACCCCTGGACGCATTTATCAGATAGCTTCCAGGCTTCATGATTTTAATTTCCGAATCACCAATCATGTTTTTTGTTTCTCGAGTTTCTGGCACATGTATGGTCACAAAATCAACACATTCCAGTAGCTCATAGAGGCTACCCAATTGTTTGGCGGATCCGAGTGGCATTATTTGGATTATGTCATGGAAATATACTGTCATGCCCATCGCTTCCGCTAGTACGGAAAGCTGAGCACCTATATGACCGTACCCAATGATGCCTAATTTTACAAAAAAAATTAAAAATGATGATCTTCAGATAGATAATCACGAATAGATAGATCATCATAACGAGTCATGTAAATTACCGAGTTTCTTTCCGCGGATTTCATAGCATTTACTCGAAACCTTATTCCAGTCACCTCGATGCATCTCGTTGTTACGATCACCCAATTGACGTGACAATCCGATTATTTCAGCAATCACGAGCTCGGCAACGCTTCGACTATTACTGAAAGGTGAGTTGAAGACCGAGATTCCTTGTTTCGCTGCTGTTTCCAAGTCAACTTGATTTGTACCAATGCAAAAACAACCAATAACCAAAAGTTTCTTTGCTTCCAATAAAACTTTTTTTGTCATTTTAGTTTTTGAGCGAATACCAACCGCGTGTGCTTCCCGAATTTTTTCAATGAGTTCTGCTTCCGAAAGAGCATTAGCATGTTGCTCCACCTGGATAGAGCAATTGTTGATCACATCGTTACTTTTTGCAATAAACAGATAAAGAAAATTCTCGACGTGTAGATAATAATTAACATTACTTGCCTGATATCCTTCTTTCGTGAGCAATTCCACGGCAATTTGATTAATATTTTCAAGTAGCAAAATTTTAATTTCACCAGCGTCAAAGGGTCTAAGAATTTTTGGTTCAAGAGAACCGTTGAATGAGGAAGAACGTGAACGAACAAGGGTTTGTGGAGTATTAAGAGCCATCTTATGCCTGATGTATATATAATATCGATATGCGTGGCCTAATAAAGTTTTTTTTTCGATTACCTCGCGATCTATTTAGACGATAGGGATTTGCGTTACACAAGACACCGTACATGAGATAAGATTGCATAATGCATGTGATGATAACTCGAAAGTTTGCTTTTTTCCCCGAAAAAAAATAACGGTTCAAAGTAGAAATGCAGTCACATTTCATACAAAATTTTCTAATAAATCTTGCTCAGCATAGATACACACTAAAAAGTATAATAATATTTTTGATTGTGTGTATACCAGCAGTAGTTTTGTCTTCATACGGAGATAATGCGAACGAGTTTCAAGATTGTGTGGAAGAGTGTCAGAGATCAAGTTGTTCTTCAAATACCGTTTTACCTTTCATTTTACGTCTATTTTTATGGTCATGTGAGGATGACTGCAAATATAAATGCATGCACGAGATCAATAATAGAGCTCTCAATTCTAATCAAGAAATAGTCCAATATTATGGAAAATGGCCATTTCATCGACTCTGGGGAATGCAAGAACCAGCAAGCGTACTATTCAGCTTCTTGAACGGGTACATGCACTACCATTACCTTTCCATCATCCGACGAAAGATCCCCGAAACATACTATATGAAAAAATTTTACATTGGCTACGGGTACGCATGTATGAACTCTTGGTTCTGGTCGGCAATCTATCATTCACGAGATTTTCCCAGCACCGAAAAACTAGACTACTTTTCCGCCGCGTTCTCAATACTTTTCTCATTTTTCTTCACCACGACTCGCGTATTTCACCTACGCAGCAGAAGGATAATTTCCGCGTTTGCTACCGTTTGTCTGTTGATGTTCTTTGCACATGTTTATTACTTGACTTTTGTCAAATTTGACTATGAGTATAATATTATAGCGAATGGGATCGTTGGGTTCACACATAATTTAATTTGGATCTGGTGGTCGTGGAAGAATTGGCATAATCGGCCCGATGATGCATGGAAACCGTTGGCAGCGGTTATTTATGTTACGATGGCTATGTGCTTGGAGATTTTTGATTTTCCGCCTGTTTGGGGTGTTTTGGATGCTCATGCTTTGTGGCACGCTAGTACCATTCCATTGTCTGGATTTTGGTATGAATTCTTAATTAAAGATGCATCGATTGAGAGTTTAAGAGAAAGAAAGGGTAAAGAGAGATTGAGCTAGTTGAAATAAGAAGGTTTATCTATTATAAAATAAATGTGACAAACAAGTATCAAATATTAATTATTACAATAAGAAAAACTCGTATTTTTAACTAAAATTGATTGATCAAACGATCAAATAAATTGTTTATCATAGTCAGTCTTGATCAAGAATCCGCCCACCAATCCTAATAAACTTCTAATATATGTCACGACCACTAGCATTGCTATACATTAAACCCATAGCTACGCATACACGCCTTATGAGCTTCAATCAAATCCTTACAATGTTCTTCACCTTTCGCGAATATACACTCGTCGCGAACTCTTTTGGTATCCGGGCATGCGCAACACGGTTTAAGATTTGCTGGAGGTTTGGAGTTGGCGGTGCCGTTCGTTGTAATTTCTTGTGAATGTTGTTGACTTGTAACGAGGAGTAAATTTTCTGGTTTGTTATCGTCTTTCATTTCAGCGTGGTGAGAAAAAAATCAAAGTTTTTCACGCCACGATCAGGTGCGGCGCGCATAAAGCTCAAGTTACCGTAATTTGCCGTGATAGTTTCAGCCAGAATTAGCCTATTTGACCCGAATTACAATGGGATACGTTACATTCTACCCATTTTGCAACCATGTATTACAATACATGGAAGGTATGACCAATACTATCGCTATTATAAATGGCAAATGTATGCGGCACGTGTGATTTTTAATAAAACTAGGAAAATGCGATTAATCCTAAAAAGAAAACAGCTTACAATCTAAAAATCAGGTTATGTGGTTTTATCATTAATAACGATAATAATTCGTAATACATTATTTTATCAATACAATATTATGATATACAATAAGCCAACGAGACATTAATTAAAACCAAAGCTAGTCAGAAACAATAATTGAAAAATCGGATTTACCAAATAGCCACGATCGCTTCGGTTAATAATGATAATAGTAATCATATATATAAATATATATATATATTAATACGCATTATATTCCAATAAAAAATCTAAGTATACTCCATTTCGATTGCTCGTCTAATACAAATCCTATAGACATTAAAGCATCATTAGCAAATCAATAGATCAGAAACTCCACACATATAAATAAACTTACCGCAAAACGTTCAGGAAAGAACACAGGGCCTAGAAGTGTCCATGCATAAATCGATAAACATAACCAACTTGAAACAACTTTAACCCAGACAGCGGTATAACTTTGCCCAATTCTCACTAATTCATCATCTTTTGATATAATTGTATTCCTGAATTCAAAAAAAATATCGTTAATAAATTAATTCATTCATTGAAAATACGCCACTCTAATCGAATAGAACAGTTTCTTTGCCTTACCAATTGGTCAAAAGCATCGCCACATACATAGCAGCCAAAGCGAAAATTACATGGAAGAACGAATAATTATATGCAACCCCGTTTCTTTCATCATCGTTATCATGGAAATCATCATCGTCATCGTCAATCGCGGAGGAAGGCACTGCACCACTTTCAACAGCCGCCAACAGTGCGTCCGAGCGCACGTTGGTAGAAGAATCGTTTGGCTGGTCAGTCAATGGAACCGCAGATACAGTATTTAAAGGAAGATAATCCGATTTAGTGATTAATGCCTTGCCTTGAGTTGCAGCTCTCGACGTAGAAAACGCAAGTGCTAGGAACGTAAATAACGCGCCTAACACTATTGTCGTTGTACGTGTTCCACGACTACGTGTCAAAGGGTTGCACATTTGATCATCGGGCTCGTTAGCCACCGCGCTCAATATTACGTAGGTAGCATAGATTACTACCATCGATGCTTGTGATAAACCAGAGCGCGAATTTGCTTCTTGGACTGACGGATGGACAGATGTAACAGTAACAATCAGGCAAAGAATAAAATTGAAAGTGATAAAAAATTGATTGAGACTACATCCATTTCCGGCGAAAAAACCGTACATCAATCCAGTCAACACGATAGCTCCCAGAAACATTCCAAGTGTTGATCCAATAAGAATGTTCTTCCACTTATCGTTATCATCTTCTTCCGATTTTTCGAGACACATTTCCGCCCATGAGTGAGCAAAGTCTACTAACAGCACTAAACCAAACAAGATGAAAATTGAACCACCAATTAACGCTACATAGTTACCCCAGAACATGAAAAATTCATTTGGAATGAAAAAAGATGCTATGAGTAAAGTGATCCATAGCAAAATTTTTGGACCCCACCACCTAAAATATTATTATATTGAAATGATAATTAATAATAAATAAAGAAAAAAATTATTTTTCACAATTTTAACTACCCATTTTGGATGGAAGCGCGTTTATCGCGTGTATCATAAACGCCGGTTACTAAAATTCCCAATAGAAAATGGAAAAGACTAAGTGCAAAACATATCCGATGTACCTTAACATCAAAAAATCATAAGATTAATATTATGATCGGATCATAAGGCCATTTCAAAATTTACTTACCGCAAGAACACCATAACATGTCCCTTCGGGGCAATTTAGCTTTAGATACTCATAAGTTATTGATTCTAGTTTTTTTATAGCCCAATCTGATAGCATTAGCCATGCAAGCTATTTATGTGTAGATTTTATGATTTATAATTTTATTTAAATTGCTGAGCAAATAACTGTTAATTCAATAATTTTACGTAATTTAAACCCACCATTGAATTCAACAAGAATATGATCTATTAAAAAACCAATTAGAGTATGAAAATTAAACACAATACAATGAAAAAATCTATCAACAGAAATACTTTTCAAATTAGCTAACCGCGAATCCAACTCTAGTCGCTATTGAGTTGTTACAATTACAAGATTTACATCCTAGAGAACAAACAGCAGCAGAGAAGCATGATGCCAGAATTGACCCGACCCAAGACACAGCGGGCATGGCCACACAACTAAGAGCCATCCCCATTTTTTAAAAATCTTTAAATTTTTGCCTAGAGTATATTTGAAGTGTGGGAAAAGAGAGAATATCGTAACTCCCAATTCCGACCGCTCTTGCTTATAAATCGGTGCATGATATGATTGGCAAAGTTTTCCGCAATGCTATTGGTTGATCTGATTGAAACGTAGCCAGAATTATGCAGATCGCGCAGATTATTTGGCCAGAATTATTATAATAAAGAACAGTCGTATCTGGATTATTTATATGGGGCGGTGCTGCAGACAAAGTGAACATCTGCAATTAGGATGACGTTTTTCTTAGCCATTTCTTACTTTATTAATTCATATTTATGACATGCTAATTTTAATCATGACACTTCAATACAGTACATTGTTATAGCAGAAACTCACCTTCTACATCAAAAGCTAATAGATTGACATTTACATCTCAAGAAGCAAAGAAATTTACAATTCACACCATAAAGAATTAAAAGAGCGATGTAACTAGTTCACTATTCACAAACAACTTTTCATGCATATCATTGACTATTTTATAAATGTCATCAAAACGTATAATATCCATCATTTCCAGCAGCTCATTCCAATGAATAATTTTCTTCCGCTTTTTTTCTGTACCAGTTTTAAGACATAATAAAGAAGGTTTTGTTAATATGAATATATTAGTCTCCAAATTGGCATTTGTACGTTTTTGTTTGGGTTTATTCGGCATAACATCATAAACAGATTACATGATTATTTATTTGATTATCCAATGCAACTTCAAAGCCAATTCTAAAACTCAGCAATAACTCATCATTGGCTCTTTTACCACAATGTATTAAATGCTGCTTCAGGTGTAAGACGACGTTCTGGATTTACATCTGTCAATTTCTCCCTAAATACCATGGCACTTTCACTTTACAGGTGTCCATTAGCTTTCCGACCATATAAATATCTGCTGCCGGATTATATCTCTGATGTTCATCAATCATTTCTGGTGCCCACCATTGAAGAAAGAAACCTGGTTCTCCTCCCGCTTTACCAGAATGCTCCAAATCAATTCAGTTGTTGGCTTCACAGAAAGACCAAGTGATTCTAACACAACTTTATATCTATCGCGCTCAAACTTTGGTGCTTCTTGAGCATGAATGATACCACCTGTATATTTTGTCTTACTATAGACCTTATTGAGAACATCTTTTGTTGTAAATTTGTATGCTCTGAAATTGCCAATAGATTTCATGACATATGTATCAAAAAATTGGAGCTTGCCAAAGCAGTTGTTACCATAATTACGGTATTCAATGTGACCAATCCTGATGGGTTGTAAAGGAAACAATGGTTCTAATGCACCAATGATACGAACCATATTGATTATACATGATAGTACCTATTGAAACAAAATAAAAGTGCGTTTATAGCTTGGATATGTTTTGTATTAATAAATTTTTTCAAGCTTCATTCCAAACCTTATACTTGCCAACAGTATTATTAAATGGTAAACAGCTGGATATTGGAGTAGACTGTATTGTGGTTTTTGATGTTCCATGTTCATTTTCTGGGATGAAGAGCAAAGAATTGTATAAATTCAGCTGCTGAAGCATAGCCAAAAAGATATGGCAACTGTCCGTAGAGAGACGGGCTCCATAAATTCATTTTATTTGTGAGTTCATTTCTTGCTTGTTCAATACTATGGTAATCCTTCTTATCTTCACCCCTGATAATCAGCACTGATCTGTACCATACCAGGTAATCAGGACGCAAATTTGCTTTTGTAGAAGCTGTGAAATCAGAGCTATTGAGATCTCGCACTAGACCCCCCCCCCCCCCCCAATGAATAAGCATTGACAGCTGCCAACACATCATCTATACAACGATCAATCATTCTCGTCTGAAACATTTCTGTTCCATGAACAACATCCATCTCAAAGACTAGAGGCAACCGTTCTACTCAATCTTCCAGCATGATATCCACTCGTCATTGATGAGACAAACCATTCCTAATATTCAAAATTCTTGACTGTATGGCTTGATATACATCATTTGCAATAGGAATTGGTATTTCAAATAGTTGTTGAAGAGCCTCTGGTAATTCTTCTAAGGTAGGTACATAAGACAATGATGCTGTAATTGAAGATGCTATATCTGCATAACGGTTAGTATCTACACATTTGTAGAAATAGAACAGCAAGAGTGCGCGTTAAGCAATGAAATAATATTGATAAGAGATGAAAAGATTCAGATAAATGGGGAGAGAGAAAATATGATAAAAACTATATTAGCTATGTCTACACTACCCTATGTACACACTACTCTATGTCCCCAACGCCCGAGTCACAGAGCTGTTACCTGGTTGAAAAGTTACTGTTGCTGAAAGTGTGTTTTGCAGGCTTCCCACCTGCTTCGTCCAGTACTCCTTCACATCCACTAGCCTCTTTTTCTCCTCCGCGAGCTTGTCTATCGTCTTCTCTGCTCGCCTCTGTTCCTTCTTTCCTCTTCCAGCCACTTCCCTCTGTTCTCGTCTTCCCTGAACGCCTTCACCTCGTCCAACTGCACTTCTGCTTTCTTCAACACTTGTCTAACTTCCTCGACAATCGCCATTTCTTTCGATCTTTAGATTGCAAGCATATGAATATTAACACAGTCGCAGTTATATTTCCTCGCACTATAAATTATCTTGTTAGTGATCTCACCTGACTGATAATTGAAATATAATTATCTAACACTAATTATTTTAAATAATATTATTTCTTTATCGATAATAAAACAAGATTCTTTTACAACAATGTTTACAGTAACTAAAGATTTTATGAATAAAGAAGCGCCACCAAATTATGTGGCAGGACTTGGTAGAGGGTATTTGTCTAAACACATCCTTTGTTGTTTATTGATTAGATCAAATTATTAAAATTACTGTTTGAATTTTTCTTTGCAGTGCTACTGGGTTTACCACCAGATCAGATATAGGTCCCGCAAGAGAAGGACCAGCTGACTTTAGGTAAGTTGGGATAATTATAGAAACTACTACTATGGCCAGCCTGAGCGTGCTTTTTCGATATGGGAAAAAAGCACAGCATATCAAAAGCCGAGTATAACAAATTGGTATGTAATTGTTTTTTTAATATCAACATGCTAATGTTTTTGATTTGATTCAATTCCCATTGGGCTTCACAAAGTGATGTATTACAAAAGAAAGCACAACAGGATGAAGATGACGACGATGAACGTTTTCAGGATCCCGACAATGAAACTGGGCTTTTTGCATCAGCGCCGTATGAAGAAGATGATGAAGAAGCCGATAAAATATATGAGGCAATTGATCAAAAGATGGACGAGAGAAGGAAGGCACGGAGGTATGTACCTGTTATTTTATAAAAATAGTTGTTCTCGAAACAATTATTTTGACTAATTATAAAATTTTATAAATAGGGAAGCACGTGAAAAGGAAGAATTAGAAAAATATCGTGCTGAAAGACCGAAAATACAACAGCAATTCGCTGATTTAAAGAGAGGTCTGGCTATTGTTACTGATTCTGAATGGGCTAATCTTCCCGAAGTTGGTGATCTTGTCGGTAAAAATCGCAAGAAAACGAATTTACGTGAAAGGTATTAATTTTATCTTTAATGGTTTGGTTTAGTGCAAGTTAACGTTTTATAAACATATTAATTTTAATATATTTTTTAGGTATTATGCTGTTCCAGATTCATTGCTAGAGAAAGCAAGAGAAGAAAACCAATATGTCACATCTCTTGATGCACAGCAACAAGTAATTTTACATAGAGAGCTTTATAATTGATTGTTTCAATTTTAGGTATTGCTTTACTTATTCTTAATTTTACTTGTATAGAAATATGGCGGTTTTCAAACTCCAGCTCCAGATTCAGGAATGATGACCAATTTCATTGAAATTGGTCAAGCAAGAGATAAAGTGCTAAGTTTGAAACTGGATCAAATCTCCGATTCAGTGAGTGGACAGACAACAGTTGATCCGAAAGGCTATCTAACAGATTTAAATAGCGTGGTCATCAAGAGCGACGCAGAAATTGGAGATATCAAAAAAGCGCGATTACTATTAAAATCTGTTATATCAACAAATCCGAAGCATGCGCCCGGTTGGATTGCCGCTGCTCGTCTGGAAGAAGTTGCTGGCAAAATGGCACAGGCTCGTTCTATTATTGCCAAAGGCTGTGAAGAATGTCCAAAAAGTGAAGATGTTTGGCTTGAAGCGGCTCGTCTTAATAATGCGGATACAGCGAGAACTATATTAGCTAATGCTGTCCGTCATTTACCGCAGTCTGTAAAAATCTGGCTTCAAGCTGTAAAATTGGAGACAGACACCAAAGGACAAAAACGTGTTCTCAGAAGAGGTATGTATTGTTATAAAATTTTTTATTCGAAACCTTCATAACTAATTAACGCTTTTTATAATTAGCACTTGAATTTGTACCTAATTCCGTAAAACTATGGAAAGCTGCCGTCAACATGGAAGAAAATCCGGCAGATGCACGTATTTTACTTACGCGAGCTACTCAACTGGTGCCTCTTTCTGTAGAGTTATGGCTTGCTCTTGCCCGACTTGAAAGCTACGAAAATGCTAAAAAAGTGCTCAATAAAGCACGAAGTGAAATACCTACATCACATGAAATCTGGATAGCAGCTGCTAGACTTGAAGAACAAGAAGGAAACGAGAGAATGACCGACAAGATTATTGTGCGTGCTGTAAGTGTGCTCTCTGAAAAAGGCAGTGTTCTAGGCCGCGATCAATGGCTCCAAGAAGCTGAAAAATGTGAAAGTGAAGGTAGTATTGGCACTTGCCAGGCTATAGTACGAAATACAATTGGTATGAATATTGAAGATCAGGATCGAAAAGCTACTTGGATGGAGGATGCAGAAAGCTGCGTTTCTCACGGTTCAATAGAAACTGCGAGAGCCATTTATGCTCATGCTCTCAAAGTATTTCCTGGTAAAAAATCAATATGGCGGAGAGCAGCATTTTTGGAAAAGTCTTATGGCACAAGGTTAGGCATACATTCTTTTCTAATACATCTTTATTATAAATTTTCAAATTAAATGTATTTTTTTTCATACGCAAAGGGAATCATTGGAGGAACTATTACAGCGTGCTGTTAGATTTTGTCCACAAGCAGAAGTTCTTTGGCTTATGGGTGCGAAAGAAAAATGGCTAGCGGTAGATATATTTTTTTTGAACAAATTTTATAATGACAAATCGTAATATTTTGTAAACATTATTATTTTTAGGGTGATGTTGATGGTGCACGTGCTATTCTGATGGAAGCTTTTCGAGCTAATCCGAATAGTGAACAAATTTGGTTGGCTGCTGTTAAATTGGAAGCTGAGAATGGTGAATATGAAAGAGCAAGGATGTTGCTGCAGCGAGCGCGAGAACAAGCAGGCACTGAAAAGGTTTGGATGAAATCGGCCGTATTAGAGCGACAACTTCACAAGACCACGGAAGCATTAGCAATGATTGAAGAAGCTTTAATTGAGTATCCGACATTCGATAAACTATGGATGATTAAAGGGCAAATTGAAGAAGATAAAGGCGATATTCCCGCCGCCAGATTAACGTACAGCAATGCGCTCAAAAATTGTCCTAAATCTATTACTTTATGGATTTTGGCTTCGCGATTGGAAGAGAAAGCAGGCTTAATAATTAAAGCAAGGTCCACTCTTGAAAATGCTCGAAAGATAAATCCAAAGATTCCAGAATTATGGTTGAGTATACAATTGATAAATACTCTTATTATATGAAGATTTTTGATTAAATTTAATTTTGTTTTTATTAGGTGTGAAGCGGTAAGAGTAGAACTCCGAGGCAATAATACCAATATGGCAAAAAATTTATTAGCAAAAGCCTTGCAACAATGTCCACATTCGGGTCTTCTTTGGTCGGAAGCCATTTTCATGGAACCTCGACCACAGCGAAAAAGCAAATCCGTTGACGCATTAAAGCAATGCGACAATGATCCAATAGTTATTGCAACGGTTGCACGCTTATTTTGGTTTGAAGGGAAAGTTGAGAAAGCGAGAACGTGGTTTGAAAAGGCTATTAAAGTGAATCCTGATTGGGGTGATTCCTGGGCTTGGTTTTACAAGTTCGAATTGCAACATGGCACTGAGGTAAATTTTTTAAAAAATTTTTATATATTAATTGTATACTAAAATCGAACATTACTTTTATTTTAAAGCAACATCAACAAGATGTTATATCACGATGCGTTGCAGCGGAGCCTCATCATGGTGAAAAATGGCAAGTCGTTGCTAAAGATATTAATAACGTTAGGAAAAACACTGAAGAAATTCTAAAGATAGTTACGAATACTCTATAATTTGTAACAGCAACAGCCTTAAGAAATTATTTATTTCAAATTGATAAACACTTTTTTATTTAATAATAGAACTTTATATTAACAATTGATCTAATTGATATTATTTTAATGTATAATAAATTTTTTGATGTAAGGAACCTTGTAAATTTAATGATAGATAAAAACATTAAAAATTTTAATGAAAAATAAAAAGCATGATCAAAAGAATCATAATAAATAGTTACTATTGGCGGTGGTAGATTTCTTTCGTACTTTGAGCCACCTGGTGCAGTAGGAACTATCGAAAACAAATCAAAATTACAACACTAATTATATATAGAAATCAAGATACATATGAAAAAAATTACATTTATACGGTTCCGGATGTCTATAATGCTCTAGCTCTTCTTCAGCTTCCTCCAAAATACGTTTCAACTCATACGAACTCGTTACTGAACGATTAGCTTCGAAACGTTCACGGATTTCTAAAGCTTTTTGTCGCCAAATGTTTCGAAAACCGTACCAATCTAGAGAAAGTTTTAGTGACCTACGATATAATTGTTTTACGTATTGTTGATGTGTGACTGGATACTTTGCAAAGTTAGTAGCGGACATTTCAAAATGGTAAAGTGAATTTGGTGAAACAAAAAATTCCAACCAAATACTCGTGCATGTGATTTTGTCTGAGGTATGTGGAAGATCACGCCCAACTTGATCGTTATCGTTATATGAAAAAATATTATATTCAATAGATGAAATAACCAAATTTGGGTATATACAATGAAAATAATGATCTTAATAAGTGTATTAATTCATTGTTGATGCAGCTGCATCCTATTAACAATAAATACAGGTGTTATGCTAGTTTCAAAATTCCAGCATTGACTAATTTGCGAATGTTGGCGGCAACGGATGGATTCTTCATATGTCTATTAAAATTGTAAAAACACGGGAGAAAAATTTCATTAATATCAAAGAAAAAAACTAAAATAAATGACAATTTAATAAGAACGTACTCCATAAGTGCTCGGGGATCTTCTTGAGCTTGCGATAAAATTTGGGACATGATAGGATCATGGAGAATTTTCTAAAAAAAACATATTTAAATAAATAGAAATCAAAAAAAAATAAACTATTCAGAAACTATTGTAATATATTAATTAACAACTGACCTGAATTTCAGGGTCACTCCTTGCTTTTGCCAATATTTCCTCTTGGGATTCCGATTGATCCATTGATTCATGACATTTGCGGATCTGCTGGAGAATCTCATTATAATGCTTATTTTCAGTGTCATATTGACGTGCTAGTTCACACGTTTCTAAACATTTTCCATATTCTTTCTTCAAGAATTCTACCACGGCTTTACGAATATAGGCCTTCACTACATAAAATTTAAAATAAACAAATCCATAGAATTAAAGACACCTTTTTATGTACTGAATAAATAAATAAAATTAAGCATACCGAAAGTGGGATCCAAATTAATACATGTTTCACAATCCTTCAAAGCCTCTTGGAATGCCATAAGCTTTGTATAACAAGCAGCACGATTACTGTAAGCTCGTGGATCATTTTCATTTCGTTTAATCGCTTCAGTGTATTCTTTTACTGCGCCGGCAAAATCGTTTTTCTTGAATAGTTCATTACCGCGTTCACGCGCTTGATCAGAAAGCTCAGGATTGTAATAGGCTTCCTTTTCGCGTTTTAGTTTCAATTTCTCAATCTATATTACTCGAATAATAAAAAATTGTGAGGATATAAAGATTATATATGGCATCCCAAAGTTATAGTAATTAATAGATATTAACAAAACCTCTTGGAGTTTTTTAAGAATGTCTGGAGTGCGATGCTCTGTTAGTGATTTATTGTAGCACTTTATAGCATCGTCAAATCTATCGAGTTTTACGCATGCGTTTCCAATCCTTCCATATGCACTAAGAGAAAAAATTGTCAATTTATAATTCTTAAGATAAATTAGAGTTATACCATTATACAGTCACACCCTGTATAATCGCACCCTCTCTATAAACGCATTTTTTCCCCTTATGAAGCGTAGGAAATTTGACCTCCATACATTCATACATTCACAATCACATCTTTCTGGACCCGAGGATGCGATTATATGGAGGTATGACCATACTCGCTTTTATCTTACCGAGCAATCAATTTGTAATCTGCACGATGTTCGCGACCCACTTCAATCGCTTCTTCACAAATATTAATACACTCTTCGTATTTTTCTTGTTCAAACAAAACAGCTGAATACAAAAGACCCCATTAAACAATAATCGCGTTACTATGGCAATAAGGAATCTTATTAAAAAAAATAAAATAAAAAATTTGTTACGCACCAGCTTTATTTGTTAGGATTGTTACATTTGTGGGATCCAGTTCCCAAGCTTTATCATAATGTTTTAGCGCTTCTTCAAAGTCTCTTTTTTTGTAAGACTCATTACCGAGATCTTTTTCTTTGTTTGCTTCTTCCTTTTTCAATTGTTCCTCAGTTAATTCGGCAATTGGTTCAGGCTCAGACTCAGGTTCAGGCTTTGGCGGTTCTTTTGTTTCGTTATTCTTTGAGGATGAGTGAGTTGTCAATAGTTAGTATATAAATGATTAAATTGCAACTCATTGTGAATAAATCTTACTTGTTCAGGTAAACTTTCAGAGGTATCCATCTAATGAGATCCAAATAAAAAAGATGAATATTAATCTATTGATTATCAGGAGGAAAACTAGATATTTCTGTTGAGTATACCTCTTCAGCACGATCTGCAAATCCCAAATTAATTCCCAAAATATGTTTAAACACGTCAACTATACGAGGATCTTGCAAATGCCTGAAGCGTTGATTTAATTGAAATTAACCAATAGTTCATAATTATAATGTATGTCAAGTATGAAATTAAATAAATACATTGGAAGTGTTTTGGAATCTCTTTGAATATCCTGGATTTTTGTCAAAAAGTCTGGTTCCTCGAGATATTTTTTCAAAGCCGGATGGGTAGCGATTCGCGGGATCAAATTCGTAAAAGCTGAAATAAATGTAAAACTAAGCCTCAAATATGAAAAGTTTGGCGTTAAATCTATAATTAAAAAAATACACATACGATTTGAAGAATTAAGTGCAGATTCTACTTCTGCTAATGACTTTTTCAGCTGTTCATTATTTGGTTCGATTCTGAGGCCAGTTTGATATGTCTCAAGAGCCTCTTCAAGCCTATTGAGACCATGAAGAGCGGCTCCTTTACGACTATAGCCCTAGATAAATATTATCATAAACTTTGGTTATCTCCCATAATAAATAAATCTTGAAAAAATCTTTTTTTATTAAAGAAAAACCTTTATCCAATCGCTTTTAAGTTCTATCGTCTTATTCGCGTCTTCCAACGCCTTAGAGTATTCCTTTAAAGACGCATATGCAGCAGAACGATTCGAATAAAGTACGTGGTTGTTTGAGTCAAGTTCAATTGCTTTTGTGAACTGCTCTATGGCAGTTTTATAGTCATGTGCAGAGAATGCTTTATTTCCTAAAGCTTTATATTCTTCGGCCTAAATAAAAAACACAGAATGGCGTGTCAAGAGTAATTAGAGTAATTAATGAGCACGAATGCAAATAGTAGTTGTTTTATACGCAACTTGACTTACAAAAAAGCGCCAAACTTACACTCATGTTGCTCATTGGGTGGAAATAAAAAGCATGAGCAAAACAATTATTTCGAGAAAAATATGACAAACTTGTATTTATTATGTTTTTATGTTCCACTTATCATGAAAATGCTAGAACATTCCATTTTAACAGTGACTTCCAAACTAACCGTCCGAGATCTGTTCGAAAATGTTACCGAGTCGAAAACTTGCCACACAAGCCAAATCTGCAGACAATGCATAAAACGCTCGAACAATTCATCGGCAAGAAAATGCAACAAACAAATTTTTTAAATATATAGTCGAAACATGTTACACCTTACTATGTACAATAAAAGGGAAAAAAAGGGTTAAAGAAAGATTTATATATATATCATATATTTTATATTATACACTTTCTTCTCTCTCATATATTTATAGTTGCCCTTTTGCCAACCAAATCGCCCTCAAAAGAAGTAGTAATTTTTAATTTGCTACCAAATTATCAAATAATAATAATAAAAAAAAATTAAAAAAAAAATAAATGCCAGCAGCAGCCACCGAGTCAGCACTTGAAAGCTCATTCGAGATGAATGGGCAAGATATGCCAATGGACGCAGCAAGTTTTCTACCTTTAGTTCTTCAGGCACAAGACCTTGTTTGTAAATTAGAAAGTAGAGTTGTCGAGTTGGAAAATGACCTTGAGGTATTTTCTTTCATCTATTAATTCATTATTGTCTGTATGCGTCTTTTGCTCTATTGTAATGCTTTCCTTTCATATTTCGGAAATATTTATGGGCTCTTTAATATTGCGGATTGAGAATGTGTAATTTTGTTTTGTTGTAAAGAAAACCAGATTTTAGTATTTTTTGCAATCAATTAACCATAACAATCATTCAACGTTTCTGTTTAAAATAGACCATTAACGAGGCGCACGAACAAGAACGGGAGCAGCTACTTCAAGAAATTGGTGAAAAGGATGAATATATCCATAATTTAAAAACTAAAGTTAGTCGCCTCGAATTCGGAGCACGAGAAGCAATTGTTGTGCTTGCGCGGACAGTGGAAACACTTAAGGCGCAGAATATTGAGGAGGATGATGAAGGTTGTAAGGATGATGATGATGCCACGGCGGTCGAGTCTACCGATTTAGAGGGACAATTTCTTGATAGTATAAAGTTATGTTTGAACTATTTGAAAAACTCACAAAATAATGTTAAAGTTCCTCGAAATAATGCTGGACGACGTCATCACCGCGGTCATGAAACCCCAAAAAGGCGTCAGAGTCAGCTAAGTGACTTTGACACTGCTAAGAATAAACAGTTGCCGCCGCATCCAATTGTTCCTGTTCGACGTGACTCTAAAATACAGCCTTCGAGTGAAGAGACAACTCCGGTGGATGAATAAATTACAAATACAGTTGCTGTAGAAAAGAAACCCGTTGAAGATGATAATGATAATGTTGAAACTCATCGATGTGGATCCTTTAGTAGTAAATTTTCGCTTGATGAACTGGACGGTCTAGAAGATTTGGATGGATCAGAAGATATTGCAGCTTTTGACCTGCTGACTGATGATGAAGATACTAACAATGTTGAAGAAACAAAGGAGTCAAAACTTGTTACTTTACATGAAGAACCCCAGGGATTTGTCGGCAATGTTAAACCCGAAGATAACGAACATCGTAATAAAGACATTAATGATAATCATATGCAGGATTCAGAATATTACAAAGAACATAATCATCAAAACGAAGAGACAAGTTCAGAATTTACTGAGGCTTCTGATGAAGAAGACGATGACGATGTGGAAGAAGATAATGACCCGAATGCTCTTCCACGACCAGGTCCCATCGAGAATGTTTCTCATCAAACTCAAAGCATTTGTCCTAATTGCGAGTCCTTACTAGCTCAAGTAGATCAACATATTGAGGAACGAGCATATATAAAACGTGATCTTTCAGCGCTTGCTATTTCATTATCAGAGGAACAAACCCTTCGTATGCAAATTCAGTCCGCCAAAGAGGATTTGGAATCAGAAATTGACGATTGGGTAAACGCCATGTTCGAAAAAGTTAACCAAATGGTCTTTGATGAAGCAAATTCACGAGAAGATCTAGAAATATTAAACCGAGAGACAAAGGGAAAATTAACTGAAGCTCTAAAAGCTTCCGCTTCTCGGGAAGATCGTCTGCGTGAGATGAAATTACTTTTAGTTCATTTGGACTCTACAAAACAAAGACAGGCAGTACAAACTTCAACACCTGCTCCCGGAGGCGTACTAAGTCGAGCATCTAGCATTAGAAGAAGTATAATGTCTAATTCTCCTATAAATAGTCCACGCGCTAGCAGGAACTTTGGCCACATGTCACCCAGTTTATTCTCTGCTTCAATTGACGATCTCATGTATTCAAAAGGCAAAAAAGTATATCTTGATGGTATTGTATATGAAGAATTCCAAGAATACGTCAAGGCTTTTACGACATCTCCTGCGCCCAATAATCTTAATCTTAATGCACCTTTCATGAAACGTTGTATGTCTGAAGATATTCAACCTTGTCTGTTTGAAGGAAAATCCGGGTGGAAATCACCGTTCTATAAAAGACGCCTGTTAGAAGCAATAATGAAGAATCAATGCGAAATTCAGACAATCTACTTTAATTCATCTATGCCAGGCACTCCAACCACCAGTCAAATCAGCATCTCATCTCGATCTAGCTACCAAGAACCGCCGCCACCACCGAAAGTAAAATGTGGTTTATGCGGATGTTTAAGGAGTTGTGAATATAGAATGAGAATATCAGGTCCAGATGCAGCAGTGCCACCGACAGCCACTACACTTGCCTCGTCCGCACGCTTGTCAGTCACAGAGAAACCTGGATGGATTCCGCTTGATCGTTTCTGTCGGGATCGTGTTGTAGCTGTTTGTGATTTCTATGCTTACCTTTCACATCTTCGTCAAGGATTGCTAGCAAATTCACCTGTTTGGGGAATGTACAAACAATGTCTCAAGTATCGAAGAAAAATGGGGATGGCTCGTGTTGGCAGTATTAGCATGTTTGAGCAAGACGATGGCAATGACTTCGAGAATGCGGATATGGAAGGAATGGTAGTCATTGTTCATTAAAAATAATATAGAGATACATAATATACCTTAAATACTATTAACATTTCAGATGGACAATAGATGAACGACGCCTAAAAATAATTTTAATAGAATAAATAGTTGAACATTCTCTCACAAGACATTCTCGTAGGCATGATTCTATATAACGATATCCTTAGATTGAAAACATCAGATTCCGCACCACAACCCATGGGCACGCGTATTAATACTATTTGACCATCTATTTCATTCCTTTTGATCGCGGGTTCTTTGACTCGAAGTTTTGATTACAACGACTAAGAAAGCATTACCGCGTCTCAAATTCATCGACTTCCTAAAGGTTAGCACCTTCTCCAAGGCAACAACAACTAATAATCCCTGCAACAAATTCTTTTATATTAATTAAACAGTTCCAGCTTTCCGCCCGTGATAATTTTCTACAATTCAGGAGTTAAAACACATATCATAGATAGATCTTTAAAATTTTTATTATTATTGTTATCATTATTTCTTTTTGGATCTTATCATTTATTATACATGTTATTTTTATGTATGTGTATTTTCTTTATGAGCTAATATATATACATCTTTTAACGAAAAATTTTTTAAAATTATGTAAACTAAAATTTATAAAGCATCAAAAATATATTTTATTCAATTTAATTTTCCATTCTTCATTTTCGCGCGATCAAAAATCACTAGCATCGAATTTTGATTCTCCCTTTTCTGTTGTATTTATAACTTCTAAATCTTAATCAGCTCCTGTTCTATTGTCAAATAAAATGGGTCGTTTGATATCAAAGAAAATATAAATTTTCTGCTTTTATATTACATTATATATAATTGGAAAACATAAAACCTATGATTATTACACTAAAAATGTCAAAAATGTCAAAAATACAACAAAAATACATTCCAAATCCAGAAAATTTATCGAATATCCTTAATCCGAACAGCAACAGCATTACGATGTGCTTCTAACCCTTCCACCTCGGCCAATCGCATAACTGTATCACCCAATAGATTCAACCCATCTTTGGTCAATTTTTGCGCGGTGATATGTTTGAGAAAAGTTAGAGTGTTGACGCCAGAGTACATCCGTGCGTAACCATACGTAGGCAAAGTATGGTTAGTACCTGATGCGTAATCTCCACAACTAGGAAGATAGTATTGTGATACATTATATAAAATATGTATATATAGAGGGGGAGAGAGAGAATAAAGAATAGAACAAAGGTATTATTGTTAATAATAGTAAAAATAATCATTGTTTGTGGAAATTCAGGTAAATAACCGGCATCAAGATTTCGGAAAAAAGGGACGCAACAGACAATTTCACGCATTGCGTAACGATATAAGAAGATGCAGGGCTGTACTGCATGCATAAAACTTATAGTAAACCCAAAAAATAAACCCGTTTCTTTGTGTTTTTGTATTTTTGTGTGTGAGTGTATGCCTACCTTTCAGGTGAATAAGAACCGACAAAGACACTGCCGGCATTGTCTACCTTTTCCACCCATTGTTCTGCATTCTCTAGATGTAAAATCAAATGCTCAGGTGCATAGTCATTGGAGAAGCGCATAGCAGCTTCTATATTATCCACCTCTAGAATAAAACTTTTTCCAATTGATTCCTTCACGATGTTAACTCGCGGCAGACGAGAAGCTTGTTCGTGGATCTCGTTTTCGATTGCTTGTAAATGTGCTTGAGTAAGTGATACAGCGATAAGAACCACTTGGGAGTCTGTTCCATGTTCGGCTTGTGATAGAAGATCAGATGCTACGTATTCTGGATTACTCGAGTTGTCTGCTATTACTAATAACTCTGAAGGTCCAGCTGGCATATCGATCGAAACCATGGCTGAGCTATCGTTCTATATGTGAAGTTGACATATAATCAAGAATTAAGCATATGTGATCAGAAATTGATTTAGAACTGCGTATTGAAATCCATTATGACAAATAAATTATTTTTCGAATATTTCTTACTTGTGCAAACATTTTTGCTGCGGTAACATATTGATTGCCAGGTCCACATATCTTGTCAACCTTAGGAACAGACTCAGTGCCATAAGCTAAAGCTGCAACGGCTTGAGCACCACCAGCCAATACTACTTTGGATGCACCAACTTTATGGGCGACATACAAAACTTCGGGTATCACAGTGCCATCTTTTCTTGGTGGACTCGCAAACACAATTTCTTTACAACCCGCGACCTTGGCAGGTATTCCCAACATCAGAGCAGTTGATGGAAGAATGGCAGTTCCACCTGGAACATAAAGACCCACTTTTTCAATCGGTCGACTATATCGCGAACAAGTGACCCCTGGCATGGTTTCCACTACTAAAGTTGCCCGATCATATTGTGCTTCGTGAAATTTAAATATATTATCATAAGCTTTATCTATAGCAGCACGTGTTATGTCATCTAATGCCATAGCCTCTGCTGGAAATGGTGCTGAAATAACAGGCGTCTCTAATTGAACACCATCAAATTTTGCAGTAAATTCAATTAATGCAGCGTCACCTCTCTTTCGTACATCCTCTATAATGGGTCGTACTCTACTCATTATGTCGTCTGATCGTATAATAGGACGTAAAAGTAGCGATGACCTCTTTTCCATAGAAATTTCCGATGCTCGATAATGTTGCATTTTGATAGTTTCAGATTTGGAAATGGGCTTAGACAATGATGCATTATCATCTCCATTTAAGCTTCCTACTTTTGATTCGTCATTGCCATCAGCAGATGCTTGTTGCCATTGTGGTTTAGCATTGCCAGGACGTCGACTAACTTTTTTCGCTCGTTTATCTAATTGCGCCTCAATGTCTGCCAATGAAACGCCGTTTCCTATACACTTAACCAAAATAAAATAAATTAGATCTGCCGCTTCCCATGCAATATCTTCTTTTGAGGTTGCTGCACAAAGCTCATCAGCTTCTTCCATGATCTTTGATCGAAGAAGATCTGGGTTCTGGAAAAGACGGTGTGAATATGAGCCAACTGGTGCCGCAATCTTTCGACTTTGCAGAGTCTTTTCAAGAGCAGTTAGTCCAACATCTGTACCAAAGCAACTCCGAGTGTTTAAATGACAAAATCCTGTAGATCATAGATGTTCTTTTCATTTTATTGTAGAAATAAAAGTCTTTTATTGATAATAAAAGAAATTACTAACCACTTCCATGTTGAGTCACGATAAATTTCAACGCATCGCCATCACAGTCGATTTCTATCTTTTTTAAATCCTGAGTAGCACCGGAAGTGGCGCCTTTATACCACAAGCCTCTCTTTCTACTCTGATAAACTCCTTTCCCAGATTTTACAGCTTCACGTAAACTCTCTGCCGAAGAATAAACCACGCCTAATGCCGTATTCCTCTCGTCCACGACAATGGTCGTGAACAAACCATCTGATCGATCTGATGTTAACTGACATGACAACACATCTGCTATGTTAATTGTTGTAGAATCAGAACTGTCAAGCGAAAGATTTTCAAAAGGAATAATCAAATCTGCCCCAATCGATGAAATTTGACGAATTGCATCAAATGAATATTTAAAGTTTTGAGGCAAGATTATCGCGAATTTCGCGGGTACCTTGCCATCATTAATATTTTGATGCGATGCCGCCAATTTAATAAAATTTTCTAGATTTTTAATAACATTTTCGAGCGCTATATTTTCTTCTTCGATATTAATTACAAAACTAGAAACCAGTCCCGATAAATCACTGATACTTTGTTCGGAAACACTGGAAACAGAAATGCTCGCAGCAAGTCTTTCTGACGATATTTCACTAAAAAGTTGTTTCTCTTTTAACAAGGTGGAAGCGGGTAACACTATTTTTGCGGCACCCGAATCTAGAAGTTTTACAACTGCTTGAATTTCTAAGGATTCATTATTCGAAATTTTGGAAGAAACCCAGTAGTTCTGAAGCGGATACTTTTCAAGGAATGCTTCTAAAGATAATGTATCGACTAAGCTGGATATCGAGAGTATGATATCTCCCACTATTCTTAAAGAGTTTATGAGCGGATCTAAATGATTGTTTGAAGCATCGACATTTAGTACCGTGTAGACCATTGTAGAAGAATAAGAAATTGGTTTCTCTTGATCACGATAATCTGGAAGATACAATGGAATTTCATGATGACTCATCAACTCAAAAATTAAAATCGCGTGGAACGAGAATTTTAAATAACTTCGACAAAAGAATGACACTTCCTTTTCGCAATCTATGCTATACTAAGCTTTTGCGAATAATACCCACCACAAACCTAATAATACAGCGACGAGTATTCCAACCTTCATCCACAAAACGCAATATCAATAATTATAATAATACCTCTAAATATCTTTTAACAAAATGTACTTTGCTCTTCAATAATAACTCACCGAAGCCTCAAAAATACTTTTGTATCAACGTCAATAGTAATAAGAGATATCTTAGCAATACTTTCAGTACTGACGAGGCCGGTCCTGATGACATTACAGGAACAGAAGTTAGCAGTGGTGGCTTAATATTAAGAAAACGACCAATACCCGAGGACATGTCGATATACCCTCCTCGACCGCCTATAGTCACGATAATGGGACACGTAGATCACGGAAAGACCACGTTATTGGATGCGTTACGGAAGTCGTCTGTGGCCGCTGGCGAAGCTGGTGGTATTACGCAACATATTGGCGCTTTTTCAGGTAAATACATTCGTCTAAATAATATAAAGACTGACATTTTTTTATTTTAATTAAGCTTTTATAATTGAATATCTAAACAGTTGAACTACCTTCAAAACAAACAATCACATTTCTCGATACTCCGGGACACGCTGCATTCTCCGCGATGCGTGCCCGTGGTGCTCATGTGACTGATATTGTCGTGTTGGTGGTTGCCGCTGATGATGGCGTTATGCCACAAACACTTGAGGCGATTCAGCATGCTAAAGATGCGAAAGGTAAATTTTTTAAATATAGAACGAGAAAAGGAAAAGAAATTGTCTCGTGATCAATATAATCTTTTATATTTCAATAGTAACATAAAATAGTTTTTATCGATCTTTAGTGCCGATGGTTGTGGCGATCAATAAAATTGATAAACATAATGCCAATACGGTAAGAACGCGTCAGCAATTGATTATTGGATTAGAATCGCGATTAATATAGTTCATTTTTAAAAAGCGTAAAGTTTGTGAAGCATTATTGTCACACGGTGTGGACCTCGAAGAATTTGGTGGTGAGACACAAGTAATCAAAGTATCAGGATTAAAGGTGAGTGTGTAAGAGAATGTCCGTTTGATCATTATGGTGAATATTTTATTTTTAATTATTAATTTATATAAGGGATTAGGTCTTGATCATTTAGAAGATGCGATTATTGTTCTTGCCGAGTTGATGGATTTGCGTGCAGAAGTCGATATTGGTGCGGAGGGTGTTGTTATTGAATCACAGATTGAGAAAGGAAGAGGGTTAGTTGGTTTTTAAAACCCTTTATTACTGCTGCTTCTAAATATTCTTTATTTCTAAATGGTTTATATGCATACCATATTATTTAGAAATGTTGCTACAATTTTAGTTAAACGTGGCACGCTGAAAATTGGTAGTGTTGTAGTAGCTGGTACAGCCTGGTGCAGAGTCCGATCAATGATCGATGATAAAGGTCGTACGTTAAAAAAAGCATTGCCGGGTACACCTGTTCGTGTAATAGGGTGGAAAGATTTACCACAGGCCGGTGATGAAGTATTAGAAGCGCCAGATGAAGTATTTATTAAGCTTTCATTTTTTGTATTATTCTATCATTACTTTTTCAATTAATTAATTAATTAACTAACTAAAAATAGGATGTAGCAAAAGAAGAAGTGCAACTTCGCCAATTGCAACAAGAACAACAATTACTGCTAAAAGATGAAAAAATAATCTCAGAGAAACGTCGACTCCAAAAAGAAGAATTAATTGAAAAACGAAAACATGAACGTAATATCAAAAAAGAGATCTGGATGTATTATCATGGATTGCTTTCAGAGTATCCCAAAGTTAAACCCCCTGACACCAATGAAAAAAAAGACGAGGATGAAAAGATTAAAGAGTTCAAAGTTGTTGTAAAAGGTTGTGTTATTTAATATCATCATCATCTACTATTCTGTTTGTTTCATTGTGATTAATTGACGATAGATTTTATTGATTGTTATAATTGATGTTTAGCTGATGTTAGCGGTACTACGGAAGCGGTTGTAGATGCTTTGGAAAAAACGGGAAACGAAGAGATTCGAGTTAACATTGTTCATTATGGTGTTGGGAATATTACAGATTCTGATATACAAATGGCGTCTACTGTTGAAGGTTTATATATATTGTAGATTTATATTTTGTTCTTTCTATTTACGAACTAAATAAATGATCCCAAATTTTCAACAATTCAAATAAAAATAGCAACAATAATAGGATTCAACGTAAAAGCTGACAAAAAAGTACAAAACGCGGCAAAACAAGCAGACGTCGAGATCATCATTCACAATGTTATCTACAAATTACTAGACGAGGTAAAAGCACGGATGAGCAAATTACTACCACCAATTCTCGAGATACATGTAACGGGTGAAGCGACGATTCTTCAAGTCTTTGAGTTGTCGGGGAAAAGAAAAGAAGTTATACCTGTGGCGGGATGTAGAATTGGTTCAGGACGTGTGTTGAAGAATCAAAAGTGTCGTATTATGAGAGGCGACAAGATTATTTGGGAAGGAAAGTGTACATCATTCATGTATTGGTACACGTATCCCGTATATAAACTTGCTTTATATTCAATACTTAATATTTAATAATTTTTTTTAATTATAATAGGTTCCTTAGAATCATTGAAACATGTGAAAAAGGATATCACCGAAGCAACAAAAGGTATCGAATGTGGAATGTCATTCGATGGATTTACGGAGTTCAAGGCTGGAGATCTGGTACAGAGTTTTTATGTTAAAGAAATTCCAAGAACAATATAAATTAATATAATTAGATTAAATAATAGACAAGATGTATTACTATGATAATTATAACATTCGTTTATGTCGTTAGAGGATATCCTACAATAGAAAAATTATCCTGATACTAGTAAGAAAAATAAATCTCAAAGGCAATTGCACCAAATAAAAGTCTAGAGCCTATACTAATCTAAAAATTCATTCGTTTATTACAATAATTTTCCTACATTAAAAATCATCTTAATGTTGAAATATATTGACTCTTACACAAGACTTTGCTCTAGCAAACACATTAAATAATTGTGGCATGCATTAACTGCTTTCATAATATACATGCAATTAAGACAGAAAATTAATTAGAAATGGCAAAGTGCGTTATGCACAGAAAAAAATTATAAAATTTATTTCGCAAGTGCAAAATACATTTTTATATAATCAAATAAGGATTACCAAAAAAAAGATTCAATCATTGATTGGAATATAACCTGGTTGTTCTTCCACTCTTTTTAACCATGCTTTGATCTTTGGGAAACTATCAATAGAAAAACCGCCTTTAAAAAATTTTTTAATTTTTCACAATTAGACCAATTAATTTATACTCAAAAATTACAAATTACAGATTAATACTAATAATCACAATCTAATAAGAAAACTTGCCTTCTTCCGCACAATGAGTATAAGCATACAATGCCACATCAGCAATCGTAAACCGATCAGTCACAAGAAATTTCCGCGATTCCAGATGTTTCTCCATCAAGTTCAAAGCCTCATATCCATTACGTTGTTTCTCAACAATCCGATCCAGATATTCGGGTTCCTGTGATTTATCAAGGTACGAGATCCACCAACGTAATGTCGCTATATTTGGTTCGTGCGAGTACTGTTCCCAGAAAAGCCATTGCATTACTTGTGCGTGTTCGATGGGATTCGATGGAAGTAATGAAGTGTTTTGTGAGAGGTAGATTAAAATTGCATTTGATTCTGATAATATTGTGCTTTGGTTATTATCATCATCATCATCACCATTTTTACTTTCGGTATAAATGTTGCTGCTATTATTAGTAGCATTCAAGTCTATGCTCGCATCATTAGGTGTTTTCTTTTTTAGATGTTCATATCCATAGGGAATAACCATAGTCGGAACTTTTCCATTTAATGATACATTATTTAAAAATTCATCGGTGCGTGACTCGCCCTTTTTGATATCCACATCAACTCGAACATAAGGGACGCGAAGCATCGAAAGTAAAAGTCGAACCTTTAATTTTCGAGAATAATAATAATCAATAATAATCAATAAAACATTGATAGCTCAATTCATTTCAATCTTCTCTCACCTTGTAACAATTACCTGATAACGAATAGTCATAGAGGGTCAACATTTTGATACGGTTATATCGCGTGGAACATAAAAATTTATTGCTACGTGAATACTCGAATCACCTGAATTGATCATACTTGTCTAAAATAGGGAAGGTGCTGGAAATTTTATTAGAAAAGACATATTTAGGGTAGTAAAGAAAGAAAAGGAATATATCTAAATTTTTGCGCTGAATATTTTTACTTAGTGGTCAAAGGCCAGTTATCATAGTAAAATTCTGAGCTATTTACGATTTTTCTCCTGTTCCCATGAATGTTTACTAACACGTGTAGCGTGATTCTATTTCCGGCAAAATTAGTTTCTCGCATGGTGTGATGATATGCGCTTAATCTCGCTTTTAGGTTGAATTTCCGGCGAGGACTTACCCTTATCCTCAGGTTATAGAATAAAGCTCATGTGATAAATGTACATTAGGAAGTATAGTATTTAGATATAACATCAATTTCCGATGTTAAATTTTGTAATTTGAATTTCGTTGGGAACCAAAAATTTGCGAATACATTAAATTCTATCTGATAACGATAAAGTTGGTTACATTCGTATTTTATTTTCTTAAGCTGATTAGTGGATTTATTTAGCAGCTGCAAGAAGAACAATTGCTCTAACTTGCCAAGTAACTTAAAGCTGCTTGAATGAAACAGAATGTACGTCACATTTTTAAAAAAAGAAATTTCGTACTATCATAATTAAAAGCGCTTAATATTTTATCAAAAGCTGCGTAAGATCACAAAATGCAACATTATATCGCCAAGAAAAATATTCAAATTTCTCGAGTTTAAGTTCTCTTCTAACTGGAATATTTCCTCCAACGAATATAATAGAAAGACTAAAACATAAAAGCGAAATAGTAAAGCGTGATAATCGCTTTCACCAAAACTCTCATAATTGGAAAAAGTAATTATTTTTTTCGATTTCTGACGACTGAAGAAAGAAACAAGAAAAATAAAAACAGTCTTTAACTTTCTTCTTTGAGTCATCAGTGTACGATATGTCAGAATAACAATATTTAGCACAATAAAAATGAGAAATTCAAGCTTTATCGTATCACTCACGCGAACGAATTCGCTCCGTTGTATTTCTCTGAAACATAAACACGCAGTTAGAGTTTGATGTTTTTAGTGGTCTAAAAATTTTAATCATTATTTTTCTCCTATTTGGATTAGTATCAAATGAATACATTTTTGAAAATGATCTGTTTGTGCGAACAATTTTATCTACTCTAGGCATCATCACATATGTATATTCTCCCACAACCCCAGAGGAGACCGTTAGAATATCTGAAGACACTAACCTTTTGTAAATTATTATGTCTTACCCTCGCCCTTCTTTTCTAATAATTTAAAAATAGCATGCTTGCAGCAGCGGAATCATATATCTATCGCTATCATTTCTCATATTTTACTTCTGAGCAATAAATCAATATATTTCCAGGATGAAAGTCACGATGTAAAAACTTTCTTCGTGAATTTTTTAATTTTTATTCCAAGTTAATTGGAGATCACCATCTTTTTGCATAACGATAATTCATCATTATCGAATATTCATTTTAGTTATTCCATAATATTTAATTAATATAATAACCATAACGGCGTATAAGAGCGGTCTGAATCTATTTTTTAAAAATTTGATTGTATTAGAAACAAAAGCAACTTTCGCTTTAAAAAATGTTCATTTTATCTCGTGTATAACTCTTGAGTAATTTGTTTTGAATTTTGTAATGATTTCGACACAACTTCTATTTCTCTATCCCTATATCGACTAAAATCATTTTTTTCATGATCCCACCACTATAAAATTTTTAATGAAAATATATTATAAATAAAATATTATTATCTTAATTTTAATTTGAAAGCTTGATAATTAGTTATTACTACTACTTTCAGAATTAATATTGTATGAGATTCTTTAAATATAAGATTACTATCTGAATTTTTCTTGTCTTTTTCATATTATTGATCTTGCAAATGACTTTAAAATTCTTTAACTATTAAATTAAATCATTTGCTTCTTTTTTTATCAAAAGTTAGAAATTCAATATGATATAATTTCTTTATTTTTCTTCTTTTATATTGACTTAGTATCAGTTCTACTATATTAATTAATTTTATTTCTCCTCTATTTAGTTCTTTGATTATTACTGATTCCATTTTATCATTTTGAATCAAGATCTAATTTGTAAATAACTGCTATTTCTCAGAGTACTTTTGATCTTGTAAAGAAATTAATATTATTAAAATAAGAGTTATTTAATTATTTTTAGTTTAATAATCCCCTGAGTAAAGATTATGATTTTTCAAATATTTTCTTTTTTTTTAATTATTTATCTTAATCTCTTTCTTTTCTAGCTTTCTGATTTATTTGGCTTATCAAATCAAAAATTATTATCTGATAAATTAGATATAAAGAATCTATTAAATAATTTATGAGACTATATGATTATAAATTATTTTTCAGTTAATTTTTTACTAATAATTTTATCAATTAATACTCTAACTCTTTATCAAGTTAATTGAGTTCTTCAAGTTATGATGTTAGTTTCTGTCTAAAAAAAATAATTTATTGGTTATAATATTATAGTTTTATTATTTAATTCATATAATCTCAAAGTAAATTACTTTATTAATTAGAAAATATAAGATAAATCAATAATATTTTAAAGAATATATGTAATTATTTAAGAATAATAATAGTTTTTATTTTATTTAATAAAAGTTTTATTATAATAGTTAATTATCTTATTATATAGTTTTATTAAATTAATTCTAATTCTACTTTTTTATTCTAAAGTTCTCTCTATTTATAATTAAATTTTTTTTCATTATTCTCATCATGATCTTACTCTTATTATAATATCAAGATTAATAAATCATTTTTATATTAATTTATTAATTAATATCTTATTGATATATTTTTATATATTTGAAATTTATTAGTATATTCTAGATCAGATTATCCTTTTTAATAATATATTAATCATGATTTTATATCACTACATCCGGTTATATATTATTAATTTTACTAATTATAAGATCTGATTTCATATCTAATATTATGAGAATCAAGATCTATATGATGATATAGTTCAATTTTATATTATGATATATTAATATATATTTTATTTGCATTTGCTTTATATATATAATCTTGAATTACAAATATAGTGATGTATAAAAAAATAACAAAAAAATTATAATTAGTTTTTTGATCATATATAATTAAATAAATATCAAATAATATAAGCATTTATATATATATATTCTTTAATATCTAGAAAATAAGTTTACTTATAATTATATAATAAAAAATATTTCAAAAATTTCATATTTTATATTCAAAAATATTCAAAAAATAAGCTTGCAAGATTAATTACAAAAAATATATATGATTTTTTATAATAAAAATATTAAATGCATAGCCATAAAAAAATAATTTAGATTATATTTTACTTTATTATACAATAACAAAGCATTGAATTATAAAAACTTAATGATATCTTTTTTATAATATAATAACCAAATTTATTTAAAGCTTAATTATATAATAACCTATTAAAATTAATTTTTTAAAAAATTTTTGTAATTGATTTTGCAAGCTGATTTAATATAAAATGCAGATTTTTTATTTATAATCTTAAGTAAACTTGTCTCAAGATATTAAATAATATATATATAAATGCTTATATTATTTGAATAATTATTCAATTCGTTATAATCAAAAAACTAATTGTCATTTAATTTGCACACCACTTTATATATTAGAACTTTTAATAAAATAGTGTTATAAAAATAATATGATAATTTTTAGTGTTCGCAACTGATTTGATGAATTGAACATCAGTATGGTATGGTTCGTGGTCACACGACTTAAATAATTACAGAATGACACCGTTAGCATGGAAAAATTCTGATATATAAATTTCGGTATTGAAACAAACGGAATAAAATGGAATAAATCGGTATAAAAGGGCATTTATATATTTACTACAAAAAAAATCATTTTTAAGATCATTTGGCAAAAATTATCACTATGTTTATGAAAAATTGACTCCTAAAGCAAAAACGAATAACTTCATATAGTCGTTTCTGAAGATTTTCTTTTATTTATAGTCATTCAATTAGATGGAAACATAAAACAACTATTAATTTGTGCATTAATGTAGCAAGTCATAAAAAAATTAAAAGAAAATCATAATCTTGTACAAGTAACACAACAAACGTTAAATTCGACACTTAATAATGACATTTTTACAAGAGTGGACAATTTTAATTTAAATGATACATATCGATTAGTGAAAATATATTTAGCTTACCAATTTCATCATGTAGTGTAGAACGTAGTTTTAGTGTTTACAGCAAAATTTTGGAGATGATAAGCAAAATCTTTGTCGTGCATTTACGTATTTCACGAATAACGTCCACGAATCACGGTCCACCTTCTGGCTGAAATTCGAAATTACATCTCTGCGCGTCATTTCGCGAAAATACGGTATATGTATATGATTCATAAAGTTCAATTTCGGAATAAAACGGAATTTTTTCAAAATCAAAAAGGATTTTTTTTCAAAATCACGCCTCAATTCTTAAAAGGCTTTTGACCTATTAATTAAAAAATCTTAAAAAGATTTAATATAGCATTGCGGCTGGAAAATAAACACCGGAAAATTGTTCAACAAATCCTCAGCAAACACCTCTACCAATTTATGCTTATGGTTCCAGAGCAAAAGGAACAGCGTCAAAGTATTCCTAATTTAGACCCTTCTAATCAAATCTATTCTATTTGCCACCTCTCATTAAAGAATACAACGAAAAAGAAGCAGACAGTAATCCCTTTGAGAATAAATATTAAAAATTATGAACGACCAACCAAAATCAATAGCCGGCTCAAATAATCAAAAAACCAATGAACAAAAGAAAATTAACTCTCAATCAGTTCCTATTTTTGTTAATGTCGATTTTGTTCAAACGAAAGTTCCACCTAATTTACCTGCCTGAGAAATATAATAATAATAAAAATGATGTGGACACTTCATTTACCAATAATATGAACCTCCAAGTTATCACGATTTAAAGTATATAAGCCTTGGGATGGCAGATTAGTCCCTGCAAATGTTTAAATAAATGGGATAGGAGTCTTTGCCACCCGCACCGGTGATTTCAATAAAAGGATTTTTACTTAATAGGTCAAAGACTTGCTTTTCTTTATTGAATTAAGTAAATATTCTCAGATTATCCAGGCTCAGAATTTTCAGAGGGCGATAAGAAGGAAGAAAAGAAAAAATACTAAGCCAAATCAAATTTTTTTATTCATAATTATTAAATGTTTGCTTATTCTCTGCAAGTTTTAATAGTCAGTTGTATAAATATTGATAATTTAAAGGAATCGATCAGTAAACGCAATCTCATTGTAGTTCTTTTTATTCATTAGTTTTTTGCCGAAAAAGATTAATTAAAGTCTAACAGCATTAGCATTGACAATGCTTTCGCCGTAAGTTCCTCTATTTACCACTTATTTCTAATTGTTGGCAGGCTCAATCTATTCCTTGGCCAGTTAATCATCTTTTTTCTGCAAATCAATCTTTTTCTTTTCTTGCTCTTCATTTTTTACTTTTTCTGATTCTGATAATATTTTAGGTATAATTTTTACGTTTATTTATTACTTTCTGCGAATTCTCGCAAAGATAAAGATATCAATAACTAAAATTACTTCCACTACTTCGCATCCCACGGTTTTGTCTCTTTTATCTTTAATGCGAGTAAATTTATTTCCTAATTCTTTAATTTCTTTTTCTAAATTAGTAATTCGAGTAGTAAGAGAGATTTGTTTAGTTCTTTTTCTTGCTCTTCTAGTTCTTCTAGTCTCTTTCTTTTATTAGTTAGTTCTTGTTCTTGCTGAAAGATTAGTTTCTAATTAATAAGATAGTTAGTCCTCATACATTCAGAAGTAGTTTTGATACTTTGCTTTATAACCGATGCAACAAATTAATCACTGAAAAATCTTCTGGATCACAGTAATATTAGCACAATAGTAATTACATTCTCAATGATTATGAAACTTTTTATGCTGATTATAAAGAAATGAACCAGTCCAGGAAAATATTGGTAGCCATCACAACGGGATTTTTCCGTATTCTGACCAACCTAGCATCAAGCTCCTTATGTGATACTTTCGGGATTCGGTAACAACGTTAAGGTGTCACTCTATAATGATATAAGTTCGAACAATCAAAAATTATCTTACAATTTTATAACACTAATTTATTAAAAAGTTGCGTAATTCAGAACCACATATGAGAATTCAAAAAATAAGAATGAACTAATATTCTTTACGAAGATTTAAAAATTATTTGAGTGAGCTCTAACAAATTCTTTATGAAAACAAAATGACACAATATACCAATTCTAATAATTATAACTAATGCTTAATGTTAATTCCTATCAAATAACATAGAATTTACAATTCATAATCAAAATAAGCATCACGTTTCCAGTAATTGTATCATAATTTTTCATTACGATTTTTATTTTGACAATTATTAAAATGATATTCAAGCTAAACCTCGAGTTACATATTTTTTAAAGAGACCTTCCATTGCATTCACTGATTTCTGGTTCATTGGAGTCAGAATTGCTTCGTTTGGTGGGTTAATAATGTCATAGCAGAAAGCAGATGTTGGTCGAAGGTGTAAAAAATTATATTCAATAAGCGAGTAAACTTTATCATGACAAATTTTTTCAGCAAAATCATCCTCAAGGATATATTCTTGATTCGCCACAATAACTTTCATGGTTTCAGGCAAAGACCAGCTGTCAATCGAAATCGTTCTGACCGTGTTACTGAAAATTCTATAAAATACAAAGCAAACTCGATAAGACGAAGGTCGGGGGGAGGCAGAGACAATTCATTCGGCTTATCGAAATTTTCGTTTTACACTAAGCCGAATTTATATATAATAAAAAATTTGTTAAACCAGAAAAGCTTCGGCTTAGCGTGACTTCGTAAGCATATAGGTTATTGAAGTCAACGTGAGTGTCTATTCTAACAAAGTTTAATACATTCTTTAGAAATCTCCTTTATGATTTTCGTATTCATCATACTAATTAATAATAAGCATGCGCGTGCCAGTGATTTTGCAGATATTATCAAATTGATTATAAGTTCTTCATTCTGTTCGGACAACAAATACACCATGAGTAAGTATCAAATATGTAAAAATAATACTTAAAATTTCTGTAGAAAATGTACCACGCCGGGAAAGCACTTACTTTTCGAAGAATTCTTCGGCTTCTTCCCTGCTTAGTTCACCAACAAAATATGGGGTTCCATGTGGAATATTCAACACTAGCAGTAACAGATTTAAACATAGTATATGTTAAAGGATTTTTTTTTACCAAATATAACTATCCTATAAACTTGCTATTTTGAATCCAGTTTAAAAAAATGAATCTGAAGTGGTGAGCACTACATGTCTTGTTTTGTATTTTTCACCAGCCACTGAAGAAATGCTTTGAGAACAATCAATCCTTTCATTGAACAATTAACAAGCTGATTAAATTCATTTGCCTCATCAATAATCAAAAATAGGTGGGGATACATCTCGTCCTGACCAAACAAACCAATCTAGAGAATCAGAAATCATTTTGAGTAAATTGCTAATGTTTTAGTTTTTTCAGAATCTTGATTTATATTAGATAATAAAGTATCCAATATGGGATTAATGTCAATTCTGTAAAGATTTTTGAAAAATTCCTTTTGTTCGCATAAAAAATAAGTGAATTGTTTGAATAGTAAATGACATACATTTTCTGATGTATTACAGTCCTGGTGAAAAGTAATGACAGTTGGTTTTTGTTAAAAATAAAGTGAAAATTAATAATCAATACAAAAAATATATTTTTATTATAAATATAATTATAACATTATGCATATAAAATATTAATAATTTTCTTTATATCAATGTATTCTTGAATGTGATTTTGCATGCTATAAATAATATTAAGTAGCATTACATTTTGAGAATCTTCCATCTCTTTTTTATTAATTCTCTTGTAACACATTCTGCTTTTGTGCTATTATTCTTTTAACTCTTTTTTTTTAGATTTCATTTAAGAACTAACCAAATATTCTTTATAGAACAAAGTATAATTTGAAAGTTATATTACAAGATTATTTTGAATATTATTTGGAATCATTATCTTATTGAAAGAATTATCATCAACTTTCAAATATATAAGTTATATTTTCATATAAATAACTATTAAAAATTTGATAATAAAGATAATAGTTCATATTTTGTGTAATAATATATATATTTACATAAATTACATCCTATACATGAACTTTAAATGAGTATTTTGTTATTATATAGTTGATTTACCAGAATAAAATCATATATAATAGATATTTTGAAATAATTATAAAATTATTTTATCAAAAAATATAATCTTATTCTAATTACAATCAATATAATCATATAATCATTAAAGTTAATTTTCTTTACATATTAAATAAGAAGTAAAATATATCTTGGCAATATTAAAATATAATCAAGCCTGAAAAGTTTGTCACAAATAATTTGATTATTGATTTCAAAGCCTAAATAAGTTTCTTCAAGTTTAGTTAAAATAATAAAATAATTTGATTCTAAAATTTTTTGAATTAATAATATTTTTTTATATTGTTTTACATGAATAATCAGAATGATGAATTGCTAAAATATTATCATATTCAACAAAATGAAGAGAAACTCCAGATTTTCTAGCTATTTCAGCAATATTATAATATTTTTTGTGTCAAAAGTACTTAATAACTTCATAATTTGATTTTGATAATTGAGTAAATAAAAAATGTAATACATTATCTGATTAATCAATGTTTTCATTAGGATTTAATCCAATTTTATCCGAGAGCTATACTGCATAAAATATATATGAAAATGTCACTGCTGCCAGAACTATAATGCTTCACCATAACAGTCTATAAACACAGGGTTGAATCGATCCCTTTCTACTACCTCACGGATCAAAGAAGTTTTTTCACTGCTAGAAGTCCTAAGATAATATTAATTCTCGGAATATGGTAGTTAAATGCTTCCGTAAACTGAGCAATCTCCCGTTTCTGATTGAAAAAGATTCCTTCACGATTATTAAATGTTGAATAACGAATACAACTTTTTCCAAGTGAAGTTGACTAAGCGTCTAAAAGATCCAATAATTGTGATATATAATTATCGGTATAAATATATTATCGAGTTTACATTCAGATCTTTATAAAAAATTATGTGAGTTCTCAACTGGCTTTCCTCAAAATATTAAGTTATGATTTTATTGGGTTGTTTCAATAACGCGACGAGAGAGGAAGATCAATGCTATATTTACTAACAAATGAATTTTTTGTTTTCTCGCATCCCACGAAAATATGACCGTCATATACTTGTCACATCCTATATAATCACATCCTCCTTTACAATATTTCTTGCGCAATCTAACTTCTAACTTCAGTTACCGTATTTGCCCCCAAAATAAGCACCCCCGAAAATAAGCACAAATGGCCTTTAGTTTTCAAATATAGGTTTTTTAAGAATAAGCACG